AAGACCACTGGAAAACACACACTCATTGAAGTTATGAAAGGGGAAAAAATGGTTTGGGGGTCGCCACAAAATGAGGGAACTGTATTAAAGGGTCGCGGTATTAGGCAGGTTGAGAGCCACTGCATTAGAGGATACAAGCCAGAAGATGAAGAAAAAGTTATCTAGCGGTATCCATCCTTAAAATGATGTTCATTTAATTCGCTTAAATATTCCATTAGTGGAACCCTTCGCAGTTCCTTTGCCTGACACTGCAGTAAAAAAATATAGTGTTGTGTAGTGTTATCCCTGTGGCATTTAGAACATGGAAGAGAGAGAGAGAGAGAGAGAGAGAGAGAGAGGATGAGAGAGATAGAGGATGAGAGAGAGAGAGAGAGAGAGAGAGAGAGAGAGAGCACGTGAGCCTGCACATGCACTCGTGCAACATGTGTAGTTGAATATATGTTCCTGTTAGTTATATATATTTACTTTTTGCTGTGTATTACCCTTCCTTGTGGGGTTTTTTTTCTGTTCTTTTTTTCCCTCTCACAAGCTTATTACTTTGCGACAGTTATTGTGTTATTCTTGTTGTCATTTTGTGTGTTGTTTCCTCTTAACCCCCCCCCCCCCTTTCTCCCTCCCCCCAATTTTTTTTCCCACCCGTTAAAAAAAAAAATTACGAGAGTCGCAGTGGCGGAGCGGCTAGACGCTCGCCTGCGGATCGGAAGGTCGTGGGTTCGCTCTCTGGATGAAGCCGGATTTTTCCTCCTTAAAAAATGACCTTGACTCCCAGATCGACCCAGCCTTGAGTGGGTACCGGGTGCAGTCCTGGGAAGTAAAGGCAGCTGGTGTGGTGCTGACATCACCCATCTTGTGCCGATCGGTCGATAAAATATATGTCTAGCCCTATATGCCCTATACGCCTAAAGGCGTGGAAAAAAGGGTCCTTTACTTTCACTTTATTACAAAATTACGTTCCTTCTGAATTAATTCACTTCTATTCGTGTCTGACTTTCTAGCTTTCTGTTCTTTCCTTCGATCTCTAGTCTGTGACTGTCTTGTCTCGGAAACTCAACATAGAGTGGTTACGTTTAAGGCGGCAGTGGTTTAGAAATGCTAGTAATTTAAGGCACGATTCTCAGAATAAGTGGCGAGGGAGCCTGCAAGCAGCGTCACGAAGATGGTTAGTGGACATTTAAAACGTTCTGGTCTTTATATTGCGTGAGATGGAGGAACGGTGGTTTCTTTCCTTGTGTATCAGAATTGTCCACGGTCTGTTGTTCTTGGTCTTTCTTTCAGTGGGGTATCGACCAGTCATAGTGGATTTATTCAGATTTATTCATCTCTCTCTCTCTCTCTCTCTCTCTCTCTCTCTCTCTCTCTCTCTCTCTCTCTCCAATATAACAGGCGGTTTTTGAGAAAGTGGGTTGCACGTGTGTTTATCTATTGTTGAACGAACTATAGCCTAATCCTATGGCAGCGGTTCTCAGCCTTTGGGTAGCGACCTCTTTGGGGGGTAGACGACCATTTCACAGGGGTCTCCTAAGACCACCAGAAAACACACATTCAATGATGTTATGAAGTAGCAACGAAAATAATGTTATGGTTGGGAGTCACCAGAACATGTAGAACTGTATTATATGGTCACGACATTAGGAACCCTTGAGAACCAGTCCTATGACGAAGAATGGCAACCTGAAAACTTAATGGTATGGCAGAGCAGCCTAGGCTCGTAACTAGGGCTGTACCGAATAGTGATTTTAACTATTCGGCCGAATACGAATAACGGGACCAACTATTCGGCCGAATACGAATAGTGTATCATCATCATCATCATCAGGTGCCTTGCCAACTGGCGTGGGCGATTATGCCTCGCCACAATCTGCGATCTCCTGCAGCTTGTATTAGTTCGTGTGGTGACACAACTCTATGCCATGCAACAAGACTGTCACGAATCTTCTCTCGTTATCTTCATTTATCCCTCCTTTCACAGATCTTTCCAGTGGTCACCACTTGTTCTATTTTCCCGCTTCTCATATCATGGCCGAAAAATGATGACTGCCTCCTTCTGATGTCTGTGATTAGTTGTCTTCAGGCTCCCACCTCTTTCAAAACCTCTTGGTTGCTTTTTCTTTTTGCTGTCCAAGGTATTTTAAGTATTATTCTGAAAAAAAAAAGAAAACACATCTCTGCGGCCTCAAAAAAGTGTTTACCTTTAGCACGCTGCGGTTGGCATTTTATGCAGTATGATACTCTTTGAGCGTGAAACAAAGGAAAAAAAAAACTCTTTTCGACAGTGGCGAGGAAAGACAATTTAAATTTTAACTTTTAAGTATCTTCATGCCTTCTTTAATAATGTCACAATTTATAATTGACTTTTCTTGATTTTCGCCGCGGCACCCCTGGCATACGCACCCAGTTTGAGAACCTCTGCTGTAATGCCTCGATCGAGTCAGCAGGCAAAGACCTTGCCAACTGCTATACCACGCAACCGGGTCGCAGTTTCCCCCGCTACGACAGACTTAGGCAACAGCAACTATTGTGTTAATGACAGAGTTATTTCATTCCATCGCCGTGTATGCAGAAACGGGTGTTAAGTAACCATTATTCGTATTTGGCCTGACCGCAAGTATTCGGCCGAATACCGAATAATTATTAGGTCCACTATTCGGCCCCGAAGCGAATATTCGGTACAACCCTACTCGTAACTGATCATCTAATCCTTATATACCTCATTTAATCTCCCGCTGTCCCCTTGTGGGTTCCGGGGCCACACTGTGAGGAAAAAGGCGGGGGGGGGGGCAAGAATAGACCTACTGCTCTCCTAAAAGGCATGTTGTAAGTGTCGTCCAAATTGTGAGGAAGGGGGGGGGGGGCGTGTGTGTGTGTGCTTCTTTCGAAGTCGCAGTACATCTGCCTGGGAGGCAGTAAACTAGCAGTCTGCATGCAGATAAGTCGGATCTTTGAAACTGGTGTGTACGCAGCACTCAGATCCTGAAACAAGACTAAAGTCCAGAAGTAGGCGAATAACCAGAATTTTCGACCATAGTTTACAGCCAGTGAACATGAAGAAGAAAAAGAAAAAGAAGGAGGAGGAGGAAGAAGGAGGAGGAGGAGGAAGAAGAAAAAAAAAAGATGAGGAGGAGGAAGAATCGTCCTCTGATATCGCAGCACCTTCCGCTTGTACCCTGTTTGAGAAGAACCGCTATGAACACACTTTCTTAAAAGGGTAGGTTTTATCGAGAGAAGGTGGTGCGTAGCAGGGGCAGTTGGGCAGGGTCTGAGAGAGACAGAGAGCAAATGATTGAATAGAGCGGGCGTAATGGTCCGGGTCGGTGATTATCTGTTTCAGCAGATTGATAGGTCGTGCCAGGTTGAAATCATCAAGACTCGGCTAGATTGGAGAGGCAGAGGGAGGAGACCCAGAGAGAACATGCTGGACAATTGACATCATGGCCATGGAAAAATCAGAGCTGATTGAAAGTACATGGGGACAGAAGGTTGAGGATGGACATGAATACGAACGATACATAGTGTGGAGTATAAAAGGAAAGAAGCTAGATTTTTAAAAAGCAATACAATGCGGGAGTTGTTGGGAAGTACCGTATGTTACCCCTGCTGGTCACAAGGTAGAAGACTTTTCTCTATTGTATTAATTGCTATGTCATTATCTCTCCTCCCCCCTCTCTCTCTCTCTCTCTCTCTCTCTCTCTCTCTCTCTCTCTCGCTCCCCTCTCACCCCCTCTCTGTATATATATATATATGTGTGTGTGTGTGTGTGTGTGTGAGAGAGAGAGAGAGAGATATGTATTCATGCAATAATTAATCATGCTGTTGAATGTTTTCTGTTTACCTTCACAACCCGTACCGTATGTAACTTTTCCTGAGTATTGTCTATATATGTTAATGTTGACACACTGTTTCTGTTCTTGTTATACTTGCCAAGAAAATACAACATGGCAGTAAACGTTCTTCTTCTTCTTCTTCTTTTTCTTCTACAGCTGCTGCTGCTGCTACAGCTTCTTCTTCTTCTTCTTCTTCTTCTTCTTCTTCTTCTTCTTCTTCTTCTTCTTCTTCTTCTTCTTCTTCTGCTGCTACAGCTTCTTCTTCTTCTTCTTCTTCTTCTTCTTCTTCTTCTTCTTCTTCTTCTTCTTCTTCTTCTTCTTCTTCTTCTTCTTCTTCTTCTTCTTCTGCTGCTACAGCTTCTTCTTCTTCTTCTTCTTCTTCTTCTTCTTCTTCTTCTTCTTCTTCTTCTTCTTCTTCTTCTTCTTCTTCTTCTTCTTCTTCTTCTTTTTTTTTCTTATTTTTCTTTTGGGAGGAAAAGAGTGGGCTGGTAAGTGAGTAAATGAGATAGATAGATAGAAAGAAAGAGAGAGAGAGAGAGAGAGAGAGAGAGAGAGAGAGAGAGAGAGAGAGAGAGTTAATGTATGATAACAAAATAACAACTTTCAGTTGACAGTGTATCTTTAAGAATGATTCGACACTCGACTTGTGACAGTCTGCCGGTGACGTCCCGTGTACAACTTTCACAGAGAAGTGATTTCTAGTGACTGTTCTTGTCGCTAACAGATTACACACTCTACATTGATCGCCTGCCTTCAACCAGTCAGTCAGTCAGTCAGATTTCAGTCTAAGTGGATTATCTGTCTTCAGCCAGTCGGATAGTCAAGCGTGGTGCTGACGCCCACTGCTGGCACTTTGATCATTCAGGGAATATCTAAAATATACGAAATGCTACCTGAGATATTGTCTCACTGTTACAGGGTGTATGTCGCCATGCTGGATGTATACTTTTTTTGCTTAGAGGTCCGGGTTCACTCCCCAACAGTGAGTATTACGACTGTTAATTTTCAGGACATCTTGCAGCTGTGATCGAGCCTTATACAGTTGGTAATTTAGACCAGTGTTCTTCAACTGGTTCGTATTCACGGACCAAGAAAATTTGATAACTTTTTTTCGCGAACTAGCTGACGACAAAGCAGAAACAAATACCAATTTTTATGGGGTGCTTTTAAAATTGTAACTTTCCAGAATTTGGACGCGAATAATTTGTTTTCGGGTCATATGGAAATGTCCGCGCACCACAGGCTGAAGAACATTGATGTAAACCACAACAAATGTACCAACGCGTCTTTTTGAAGGGCGATCAGAGACAAAGAACGTACTGGTGAAGTGTCTGATTATTCTTACAGTTGTCTGGATGGAGAAACATTCAGATAATTTCCAGAGAGAATCGGGAAAAGGGTGGGGGGGGGGGGGGGGTGTACAACGAGGAAGTAAACTGGTCATTCCAGCACAATACTTAGGTGTTTAAAGACCCGACACACACACACACACACACACACTCTCTCTCTCTCTCTCTCTCTCTCTGTCTCGCGTAAACACACACACTCTCTTTCTCGCACACACACAAACACACACATACATACTCTCTCTTTCTATCTCGCAAACACACACACACAGCTGCCCCATACCCTGCCGTCTTTATCAGGAAAAAACAGAACTTGACGGGTTGCATACAAGATTATGTTAGTTTTATTGTGGCTACGTTTTAGTATCACCCACCGAGTGCCGTTTGGTCTGTAAAATATAGGTCTAGCCCTATGTGCCATATACGCATGATAGCGTGGAAAAAGGGCCCTTCTCTTACGCTATAGTTCGGTTTAGTTTCCGCTTACATTGAGCAGAGAGTTATTTGGAATTCTGATACACACCTATTTTGACAGTTCTGGGAGAACGGTCCGTTACTGTGTTATTTCGACTGTTCGCGGAGTACAGTATAGTATATTTCGACAATTCACAGAACAGAGTCATTGTGTTTTTTCGACAATTCGCAGAGTAAAAATTTTTAACAGTCCTGGTAAGTCTCATATACAGGATACCAGACAGTCGGTTATTGTTCTTTTCATGTCATTTGTAAGTGTAATAGTTGCATTCCGTTAGTAAAATAAAAGTCCCCCTTTTCACGCCTCTAAACGTATTGAGAATATAAGACTAGACCTCTATTTGTATAGACCAGTTGGCACCACGCCGGCCGCCTTTACTTCCCAGGAATGCACATTGTAACCACTTAAGACTGGGTCGACGTCGGAGTCAAGGACAGTTTTGAAAAAAATTACGGCTGCGTCAGGACGTGAACCCACGTCCTTCCAATCCGCATCGAGCGTGTAGCCGCCAACGCCACGACGACTCGCAGTTAAATTCTGTTATATATTTATTTCATCGTTTTTCCCTGTTTACATTGTCTTGTTTCTGGTTGTTCTCTGCTGCTAAAGGCTTGTCGTCGCACTCATGGAATTAACGTTGGCTACTGATAAAGGAGTCGGCTCTGTGGCTAAGTCGATGCGAACGCTTCGTAATGCCGGGATGCCGGGTTCGATCCCAGCTGCGGGCCATGCGCCTTGCGTTGGTTTCGACAGTGGTATCAAGAAAACCGACCGTCCAGAGAGCACTGGCAAACTACTGGACGTAAATTTGTCTAGAAAAACCACACAACAGCCAGGGGCTGTTGTGGTTGGTTCTGCAACGTCCTGTAAAGGATACGCAACTAACTTATATAACTGATAAAGAAGGCAGAGCCGGCTCTCTAGCGTAGTTGGCTAAACCGGATTGCGCGGTGACCTGGTGACGAACTCCATGTTGTCCGGGTTCACTCCCGGGAGTAGGCAGAAAAGCCACATTTCTCCCAGATTTACGGTATTTACAATGGAATCAAGGCCGAAAGGTTGTAAAATCCCTAATACCGAGCCTAATGGTTAACAACTCATGGCTTCTGGATACTAGAACAAACAACAAACATAAAGAAGGCAGAGAACGCCCCGAGAGTAGTGGTGCTAATTCTTGACTCATTCATATAATCATAGAAAAAAGAGGAGTGAAATAAAGATGAAAAGATATACTAGAGTGTATAACAACTGAATTCTTAAGTCCCCGTGTGGGTTACGGGGCCCTATTATAGGGAAAAGATGAATGGACCCACTGCCTACCCTGAAGCTTGTCGTAAGAGTCCACCAATCGGGAGCTTTCTTCGAAGTCGGAGTGCACCTACCTGAGAGGCAAGGAACCAGCAGTCTGCATACAAATGAGTCAGATCTGTAAAACGGATGCGCACGCAACAGTCAGGTTCTGGAACTGGAATGTAGTCCAAAAGTGGATGAACAACCAGAACTTTCCGCTAGAGTTTACAACTGGTAAACGCGAAGAAGAAAAAGAAGAAGAAGAAGAAGAAAAAGAAGAAGAAGAAGAAGAAGAAGTGATCACACATGAATTCCAACCTTCCACAGACAACAGCGCTGTACTGGTAAGAACAAGTAAAAAGTACAGTCAAGGACTTGTCTTCCACGTCCTCAGGCGTACAGTCCTAAGGGTTGTACCTGTATTTTATAGACCAATGTATGATGTGATCATCACTGCCCATGACTTTACCTGGAACCCATTTAAAGTGGGCAGACTTAGGAGAAGATTGGGTTCTTAATTTATAACGTACCCCAAACACGAAATCCCCGTGGGAAATCCACAGCTGACCTGACAGTCCATTATTTCAAGGGGTGGAAGTGTGCTGTTGTGTGGTGCTTTTTTTTTTTTTTTTTGAGTGTTCATTTAGTGTCTTCTAATGCTAACCCCAACCTTAACCCTAAACTTGGCTGTAGATAAATCGCGAGAAACTACAACCTGAACACCCTAGAATTTATTGGGAATGTCTCCCGTGACGTTGTCGTGACGTCAGGGGTAAGTTATTAATTAAGTACCGAAGATTGTTTATTTAAAAAAAAAATCCGGCTTCCTCAGGACATGAACCCACTCCCTTCGTACCCGCAGAGGAGCGTCTAGCAGATACACCACTTACGGCTTTATGTTAGAATAAGGGACATCGACATATATCAGGGAAGATATTTTTTTTTCGTGCCTGGCTTGAAAATGACATCTAGCACATACCCAGATCCTTCCGTTGATTTTTTTTTTAAATATCTATAAAGTAGTTTAGAATCTTGCGTGTAGCACATTTATGTCTTGGTTGGTTGTAAGTAAAACTGTGGTCCATTTATGGGTAATGCTCATGCATAAAGATATCATACTCATAACAATGTAAGTGTGTAGGTATCTATATGTTGAAAACACGAAGAGTGTGGATATAGTAGCACATGATTCTAACCGTGTTTATATACGGTTATAATATAATTGTATCTCGTGTTAAATATTTCTCTTGTGGGCTCAAGGCCCTCGTGAGGGGAGGGGGGGGGGGGGTGAAGAGATAGCCCTCTGTCTCCTGACAAGCTTCGCGTAAACGGCGACTAGTTAGGATTGTTCCTTTTAATGTTGGAGTGCATCTCACGGGAGGTGAAGAATCAACAATCTGCACACAAATAAGCCAGATCTGTAGAATGCATGTGCACGAAAAACTCGGGTCCTGAACCAGTATAAAGTCCAGAAGTAAACGATCAACCAGAACTTTCCGCTGGAGTTTACAGCCTGTGAACGAGAAGAAGAAGAAGATTATAAACATACCTAACTATAACATGAGCATGCCGCCCATGGCCATGGTGAGGGTCACTAGTAAGGCCTGCTTGCGTTAAGAAAATCCTTCCCTAACGATTAGTCAAGAGTCGGTTACCGCCTGGGTCAGAGTCCCACTTCGGCACGGCTTATGCCACAGATTCATATGCAGGACTTGTCCGTATGTGGTTCAGTTGACAAGTCTGGAATCCTGAATGCCACCTTCCACATACGTAAAGCAATCTACTGCACGAGCCGCAGTGTCATTTACGCCATCAACTGCAAGAGGTGTGGCGTGAAATGCATCAGTGAAACAGGTCTGCGACTGACCCACAGGTTTAGACAACATCTTTTGGATGTACAGAAAGGTGCCTTGAAACCAGAACCATTGCACTTCAATTTCCAGAATCACCAAGGTGTCCACGACACGGAGGTGACAGCCATCAAATCTAGCCACTCTGATGACAAGAGTCCTCAAGTCTCTTAAAAATCGCTTTACTCTCACTTAAGGCACTTTAAAACCGAGAGGACTGAACTGCCAACACAGTTTCATCTAAAATCCTAGGGGATTGAACTGCCCACACTGTTTTATCTGAAATCCTTCGGTTATGGCCCCTGGAATTCCCCAGGATCTGCGTGAGTGTGTGTGTGTGTGTGTGTGTGTGTGTCTCCATGCATGCCTATATGTATGTATGTATGTATGTATGTATGAATGTATGTATGTATGTATGTATTATGGATGTGTGTGCGTGCATGCATGTGTGTGTAAGTGAGTGGGTGGGTGTAAGTGAGTGGGTGGGAGTGTGTATGTGGGTGTGTATATGTATGTGTGTATATTCGCGCTGGTTTTAGCATTCATTTTACAACCCATGCTTTTGTGTGTTTTTTTTTTTTTTGGTGATATTTATAAAAAAGCATATCATCATGTGATAATGACATGCTTTATTGGTAAAATACAACTGCTGTGCGAAAGATGGGTGATTGGAAGGTATTGAATGTAAGACGGGTCGGCGTGCCCAACTTGTGACCCTTTGAAAAAAAAAGTTCGTTTACTCGTTCCCACGTGTCTAGTCAGTCTACCAGGCCGCATCGAGATACTAAGTGATTTGTATATTTGTGTGGTATTGTATTTTTTTTAAATGTATATGTTGATGAAGGCTCCATACCCGCAGCAAGGAAGACAGGCAGGGCAGAATGTTTATCTTTGAAGTATACGATTTTGCTGCCTAAGCGACTGAGTTAAGTGATTGGTGCAGCACTGTGGGATGTGTTTTTAATGTGGAATGCGTTTCATTTGTGCTGCGGCTGTGTCGTGGTATTCTTCAGTATGACGGGTAGCCGGCTTACACCTGTGCTAGTGAAATATGGTTATGCAACAGTTTTGCGTGTGTATGACCAACTTATCCTGACCGACTACTTCCATTAACGACAAACTGATTTTCAGGTAGTGACCATTGGCTCGGTCTTACGCATTTACTGTGCGCGCATATTTCTGGATTGGGCCACGACTAATTGTTTATTCACTGGTTTTTTAAGTTTTTCTAATGCAACATTGAGAGGCATTTCATTTGATTTTTACTGCCACAGGAACAGAGTAAGTACGGGGTGACCCGACTGCAGTGAACTGGAAACCTCGACTAAGACAACAACTGGGTATACTTCCCAGGCGTGTGGCAACTTGCTAATCATTGCATAGTGTAGGCAGCTGTCAGTCCTTATGGACCTTGCCGCCTTGCTACTGGTTTTGGGAGCAACGTCTGCTGCGACTGTGAAGTTATATGCCAGATTGACAATCTCTGCCACATAGACTACATAAAAACATTGATAATCTATTATATTGAGGCTACATGGTCTCGAGAAATGGTGTCCGCCTCGAGTGCTGGAGGTCTCGTGTTCAGTCCCCGGTGAAAGCTGGAATTTTTTCACGAGGACATCTAATAATTTCCCCTGGTCTCTGGGTAGTAAGATCGGACGTTCGTGTGCATTGTTGAGCTCGTAAAAAATCCCTTGGCAGTTGGAAATCGAAAAGAGTAGCCTAACGGCGCTGCCCGGGCATAATTTGGAGTTGAAAATCTACCCAAAGTATTTCAGGATCCTCGCCGGTGCTGCGGAGTTCGTTCACTGCGCTGAGATTCTTCTGACTCAGGCTTGAATTAGAAGTAGAACGGAGCATTTATGGCTTACTACCCTTGTGCCTGATGTTAATTCGTTGTTAAAACCTCAAGCCTTGATTCTCCCTTTAAAGTCTCTTCTATATTTCTTTCTGAGTTAGATCTCTGCAAGATGCAACAGTCTGCCTTTCACTGGCTGTCTCTGTAGAAGTTAGTCTGCGGTCTCTCTTTCAAAAGTGTCTTTGACAATGTTGGCATCTTTCAGGTCACATTTGCATATGTACTTGTAGTCTAGCTAGCGTTGGCCTTCCTGCAGATCTTGTCCCTATTTCCATTTCACCACACAAGTGATTCTTCAAAATGCGATCGTCCTCAGTGTTGCTACTTTTCTTTGACAAAAAACACCCAAAACGGAGTCAAAAAAATGTCTACAAACATCTACATTTGCGTGGAAAACATCTAGAAAAAACATCCGAATGGAAAGAGTCACAAATTACATAGCAATTGATATGACTTGCTCTATAGAATCATGTCCTCATCTTTACTGAAGTCTGCCTTACAAGATCCACAGGATAAACTTAGCTTGGATGATAAAGTTGAAGCTTCAGATCCAAAATGACTCTGGTATGCTTTAGCTGTTCCAATTTCTTTTAATACCCAATCAGGCAGCTGATAAGCGGAACAACCTTTTCCTATTCTTATCAGGCCGAATTTTATTGTCAAGACAGCATTAAAGAGGTCAAATTTCATCCTGTTTCTTAGGTTAAATTTGATAAATTCACTCCAAATGAAAAACATCTAGAAAACATCTACCATCTAAACGTCAAAAACGCCATCTAAATGCAAGAAAAAACATCTAAATCTGGATGTAAAACATCCAAAGTGGCAACACTGATCATCCTCCATGCGGGAGGCGTGTCTCACTATAGCAGGCGTCTTTTCTTCAGTAGAAAATACATACTCATTGCATGTATGTATTCTCTAAATCCACGTAGGTAACCTTTATTCTCAAGTATAGAAAACCTCTAGGTCGACCCTATCTCTAAACTGGGTACCAGAAAATGTCTCGAGGAGTAAAGGTAGAGGTTGACAACAACTATCACCCAATACCGGTTGGATTATTTAAAATAAAGGGCCTAGCACCATATGCTCGATGTACCCAGCTGCGGGCGATTCGGCAGCAGAACACCTTGCGTTGGCTTTGACAGTGGTATCGAGAGCCGACAGTTTAGTCAGCATTGTCTTCTTCTTCTTAGTCCATGGTATTCTAAGAATGTTTCTAAGACACTTCTGTTCAAAAGCTCCGATTGTTTTTCTTCTGTGATTCTTCTTCTTCTTCTTCGCGTTCACCGCTGTAAACTCTGGCGGAAAGTTCTGGTTGTTCGTCCACTTTTGGACTGCAGTCCCGTTCCAAAACTTGAGTGTTGCATGAGCATCCGTTTGACAGATCTGACTAATTTGTATGCAGACTGTTGGTTGCTTGCCTCTCAGGCAGATGCACCCTGACTTCGAAGCAAGCACCCAATTAGTCGACTCTTATGACATGCTCTTGGGTAAGCAGTGTGTCTATTCTTGTTTTCCCCATAACAGGGCCCCCAGAACCCACACGATTGAGTAAGAGTCCACGACCCACATTTAAAAGTTGCCCATCCTGTGTTGATAAATCTGATAAGAGGATATTTCACTGATAAATACATGCCACAGTTTTCTTTAATGTGATCAGTCATCGACAGATTTATAACCCGGACTTGTAACTGTAATGGCGCTTGAGATATCTCATCTAGTCACGATTTGAACTATGGTACCGATTAGCCGCTGACTAGAGTTTTGAAATAGTTCCTGTTGTAGTTTAGCGTTAGTATTTTTAAAAAGTATCATCAATTTCCTGTCGATGTCTGTCGTAGCTAGAGTGTGCGCTTAGCGTCGGAACTTCGACATTGCAGGCACTCGTGAATAAAACAAGAAGGAAGAGAATCCTTTATTCGTTGATGAAGACTTCGATTTAAAGGCGCCGAAATCTGAAGGCTGAGGCATCCTAACTGGGTTTTGTTCATGTAGGATTCTCATCTTTGAGGTGTTAATCATGCGGTCTGCAATCCTGGGGGAACAGACTGTAATTGCATTGATTTCACTGTCCTCTAACGAACATGTCGTAAACAGCGACTGAATAGGATGTGTTTGATCGGAAGCTGAAAACTACAACACAGCTGCACTTTTAAGAAAGAACGAAGAAGATTCGCAAGCATTTTATTTGTCTGCTGTGCCGTTACCTCCCATTAAAGCATAGGCTGTTGAGAAAATTACACCAGACCAGACTCTTATGTCTGTCTGCCTTATTACGCACCGCACTGGGCACTTTCTCTAATATTGTGATTTCAGCACGCGCGTTCAGACACACACACACACACACAAACAGAGAGAGAGAGAGAGAGAGAGAGAGAGAGAGAGAGAGAGAGGAGAGAGAGAGAGAGAGAGAGAGAGAGAGAGACGGTACTAGTAGTTTGACAGACAGCGAGGACAGTGTGCGTTACAAACAGCGAATAGTAAAATTTATAGTTGCGGAAAAAAAAAAGTTGTAGTGAACAATAGAAGCCATAATCATTGGAAGATCGTCTCTTCCGGATAGTCTTTCGGTTTCTAGCCATTCCCCCCCCCCCCCCCCCATGTCATTTATTTTTATGCCCAGTGCGTCTCTGATATGCTTTGTATGTCATGCTTCTACTTTTTAAACAAAAGTAAAGATCCCTTTCCAAGCCTTAGGTGCATCAGACATATGGGAAGAGCATCCCACATTTTTTACAGACCTATCGGCACTAGGTGGGTAATTTGGTCAGCATTACGCCGGTCGTCTTTACTTCCCCAGGACAGCTATCTTGGTACCCATTTTAGGCGGGATCGACCTGCGACGCTCCATACCATGATAAAAATCTACGCAGCCAACGTGGGTTTCGATCTCGGTATGTTGGAATCACGGGTCGGACTCGCAACGCTAAGCCACGGACACTGCTACTTTTACTAACTATAAAAAGGTGAGCAGAATAGACATATAAATCATAGTTCTTTTGACAATATTTCTAAGTTACGGGCCTTGTCATTAACAGCATTGTTTTTCTGGTTAGTATTTATTTCCGGTTGTCATAAAGTCGACTGACCAGAAAGGTAGCTGATTATATTTGTGATATTGTGTGTACATGTAATGTGCTGATGAAGTCTGTCAAGCCACAACGTTCACTTGTTATTTGTGTTTGCGATAATGTGCAGCTGACTGCTTCTACTTTTCATTTGATTTGCTGTCTTTTCATAATGTTATAACAATTGTAGAAATGTATGTTATTTTGTTGCCAGTGTCTAATGTTGTGACTGATTAGTCTCTTGATCTTGTATGACATGAAACAGCTCAAACGGACGTAACACCCATGGTCGTAGCCTGCACACAAGAATGTCTGGTGTGTTCTTTCACAAGGGGATTTCTCGTCTTCGCTCTGAGGAGCTGCTGCTCCAAGGAGGAGAAGATGGCAGCTTCCTGGTGCGAGACAGCGAGTCTGTAGCTGGAGCATATGTATTGTGTTTGTTGTAAGTATGGCAGCACCTTTCTTCTTCTTCTTCTTTTTGTTGTTGTATACTTGTTGTACTCTTGTATAACCCCTGTGTAGACTATGGGTGTACAGAGCACTTATGTATGTTAGTCCATATAATATGTATCTTTATGCACTTGAATGTTGAATGTTGAATTAATAATCGACATCACAGCACTTGGGAGACTCCTATAAGTGCTCCGTCCCCATCTTCAGCAGCAAGCGAAGAGTTAAAATTCCGATGGTACCAGTAACAGTCTGATTGTATATCCGTCTCGCCCCTCCCCCGAGTGTCGAGCGTTGGCCAGATCTCCTTGTAACTCCTCACAGTGCCATTCTCCTCAGACCGTAATGATCTGTCTGTTCCTCGGCACTGTTCACTTGCTCCCAATGGGCCCTCACAACATCCAGCTTGTCATATATCAGTTCACCACCAAGCGGTGCAGAACCGGCCAGTCTATCCGCCTGCTCATTTCCCACCACACTGGCGTAACCTGGAGAAAATATCCAATGGATGCTAACTACCCGGGACCTCTGAAGTGATGCTTGCCACTCTGCACGGAACATGCCTGTCTCCACCTTTCTCGGCATGCTCTGTGATTCAGTTACAATGACGGCATGTGTGTACAGCTGATTCTCAAGCCAGGGGAAGGCAGCAGTCACTGCCTCCACCTCCATTCTCAAACTAGACATTGTGATGTCATATGCCAGGCACTAATACTGCTTAGTATCAGAAAACCAACCAAGTATGTAGGTCTAGGGTGCCTACGCTAATATGCCGTTGGATCTCTCCTTGATCGATGTGCTGCAACTACTTACAGTTCTGTATAATATAACAACTGGCACACTTGGCATAGATAGCACCAGCAAATACAGTTGTGACTATCCTGACGAGTCAACAATACCTACTTGTGACAGGCCACATAAACTTTAATGTCATTCACATAAGTACACGTCACAAGATGATGATGATTTATGTATGTACGATAGTAAGTCTCTGTTATCTGCACAGACCATCTTAACGATTACAAACTTCACTCAACGGACTCCTGCGGTTATAAACTAAAACAGACATCAAAATGTCTCCCGCAAACAGCAGCAAAGCACAAACCTCACAAAGAAAAACCTTACTATATTGTCCTCACAAAGAGAAAACAGCCAACACAACGTTTCTGCTAACCCGCAGAAACCCACGTCCAACTTGGACACTAGCAAAATCTTCACTCCCTCCCAGCTGACTGTCCCCCTGAATTCTATCCCCATAATTCAAATAAGTCCTATAATTACCTGTAATTACCTTGGCCTGGGTAACTTAAGACTGGTGGCCGCCATGTGACCTCCATCCACCTGTGCTCTTCCTGCTAACTGACATTTTAATCCTGGCCAAATAAGACTACAAAAATACTGTGTTATGTTATCCTAGCCAAGAAAACTGCTTATTGGATATTACCGTATTAATCTTGTTCTGTACCACGTGATGGAGATGTATGACAAGGGTGTTGTTGTGAGGGCCCCTTGGGAGCGATCTAACAATGTGGAGTGACAGAGTTAGCAGGGATCTGTCCAACGCTCAACCCTCAAGGAAAAGGCGAGATGGATATATGATCAGACTGTAATGATGCCATTGGAATTGGAACTCTTCACTTGCTGCTGAAGATGGGGATGGAGCGCTTATGGTAGTGTCTTGAGTGCTTTATGTTTATTCTTAATTCAGCAATAATTCAAAATTCTTGACCTCAAATACAACAGATATCCTGAAGTACCTTTACCAAGGGTCCCATTCGTAGTTGATTATGTTATCTCCTATCTTCACCTTGTGTTTGAGTTAAGAACCAACATCTCAGCACTTGAGAGTTTCCCATAAGCACCCCTTGCCCATCTCTAGCAGCAAGCTCAGAGTTCCAGTTTAGATGGTACCAGTGACAGTCTGTTTGTCTATCCATCTCCATTTCCCTTGAATGTTGAGCATCGGCCAGATCCCCTGGGTCACTCCTTACTGCACTGTTTATCTCTTCAGACTGTGATGATCTGTTTGTGCCTACACACTGTTTACTTGTTCTCAAAGGGTCCTTACAACATGGAGCTTATGCTAGTCATGACATAAGCTGTTTTGAAAATCAGATGTTTTGGCCAAAAGACACATATATCATAGCCTGTAAACCACAAGAGGAATGTGCCAGCAGCCCTCTTAAAGGGCAAACACAGAAGAAGAAGAAGAACCCACACTGGTGTCTTTGCTGGCTAGTGTAGCAAGGCCACTGTATAACATTTTTCTGATGAAAACATATTGACTTTTGTATTTCTCACTTCAGTTTTCTCAGTTTCCTGTCCATCTCATTTCAGTTTTCTCAGTTTCCTGTCCATCTCATTTCAGTTTTCTCAGTTTGCTGTCCATCTCACTTCAGTTTTCTCAGTTTCCTGTCCATCTCACTTCAGTTTTCTCAGTTTCCTGTCCATCTCATTTCAGTTTTCTCAGTTTCCTGTCCATCTCATTTCAGTTTTCTCAGTTTGCTGTCAATCTCACTTCAGTTTTCTCAGTTTCCTGTCCATCTCACTTCAGTTTTCTCAGTTTCCTGTCCATCTCACTTCAGTTTTCTCAGTTTCCTGTCCATCTCATTTCAGTTTTCTCAGTTTCCTGTCCATCTCATTTCTGTTTTCTCAGTTTGCTGTCCATCTCACTTCAGTTTTCTCAGTTTCCTGTCCATCTCACTTCAGTTTTCTCAGTTTGCTGTCCATCTCACTTCAGTTTTCTCAGTTTGCTGTCCATCTCACTTCAGTTTTCTCAGTTTGCTGTCCATCTCACTTCAGTTTTCTCAGTTTGCTGTCCATCTCACTTCAGTTTTCTCAGTTTGCTGCCCATTCTTTCAGGTATCAGAACCGTGTACACCAGTACAGGATACTTCCAGACAAAGATGGCCGCCTTTCGGTTCAGGTAAGTTATCTTTCAGCTCTTAGGCTTCATGTTCATTATGTTGATGCTGATGAAATACTGAGTGGTTTTTTGATTACATGATAGCACACCAGCCTCAGCTTGTTTATGGCTGGGGTACATATCTCTAGGATTTATATCACTTGTCCCATCTTGACAGGTGAAGACTATTTTCCTTTCTATTGCTGTCTGTGTAAGTGTTATGTAAGTACAGTCAAACATATGTTGTATAAATAAGTATACAATTTTGTCTGATAACTTGTATAGTTTGTACTCTGTACATGCAGAGTGTTTATTTTATTATATTTATTGCTAAATAAATTTTTCACATGTCCATAGATGAGTGATCAGAAGGGCACAGTTTCAGGTGAGCTTAGAAGTCAGGTGACTCAAATTATGGCACTAAAGAACATAAAATATTCCTAGGCACAACTTGGCCTGACTTCCTCACTAAAATTAAGCCCCCAGACTATAGTGCTCCTATGCTAGTCAAAATAACACAGTTAAACATGCTGTATAACATTACTACAAACACTCCAGACAACCAGAAACAGTGAAGGATGGACACTAAACCAAGGATGTAAAAATCACAAAACATCTTGTAATCAGTACAACAATTGTAAGAAAGAAGAAAAAGGAAATTAAAGAAGTCAGTACCACTGATGAAACGAAGACAAGTTATGAGTGATTAGCACATGAGTTGCTCCTAGTAGCAGCCATCATCATCACTGCTAAGATGTGGAATAATGAACTCAAGGGACCGGCACTGAGGTATAGGATTAACTGCCGGTGCTGGTACTCGACTTATCTGGCACCACGTCCAGTCCACTGGAACAAATGTCTTCTCACACATCTAGGAAAGCTGGTGTATTGACTCACAAATTCCTCCTCTCTCTGCATACAGCATAGAATGAATGACTGGATAAACTGCCTAACATTCAGAATTCGATACCCTGTCACGGTCCTGAGTATATCATGGGTCTAGAGTCTGTTGCCTCAGGTATAGGCAGAAAAGATGCCTGTGCTAGGATCGTAAGACTGCAGGAGTCTGTACAATACCAGTGTGTTATCGCCAGCTGAGACATGAGTAAGGAAACAAAGTTCGGACAACTATAATAGGTCCAGGACAACCTTTATAGGTATAGCACCTCTCCCCTCTTTGTGTACAGTTTTTGCCCACAGGATGCGGCCATGCCTTGATGTCAGCCCTATACTAAAGTTAGCCTGAGCCCACCAATCTCAACCGCTAGCCCTGCTCTGACCCAGATATATTCTACTCCAAAAAAAAATTGGCAAAAACACTTCACAGATGTGACATGCAACTTGTAACTGGGCTGTCTTTGGTCAAACTGTTTGGACCCTATGGACAGAGTCCCAGGGGATAATAACCTTGGAATTTAAAGGGGATATATAGTTTGGGGGCCACTCTGCAATTGGAATGGATGGAAGCCTAGTTCTGTAACATCACATAGCCACCTCTGTCCTACACTCTGCAGTGGGGTTACATATATGGCACTCATAAACTATAATGTACTTACTCATGCTCAAATAATCTTCTAGTATGAATCGGTTATTTCACTAGAAATAAACAGGTAATCAGCACAAAGGCAGTAAGCGTGTTTCTTCTTTGGAAGCTCAGTCAAGAATAAGTTCGACCCAAGCATCTCTCCCAATGGAGGCGGGAGGATATTTATTCACGTCCAAGCAGTAGTTAGGCCATTGGAATTTTGGCTTTACTAATAATGAATCTCTTACCTAAAGTCTTCAATTCAAAAGTATATCTCTCCTAAGATAATTAGGAGAGAATTGAGTACTTAACCCGACATATAGTCACCTAATTACGAAAGGACTATTTACCTATAGAGGCAAGTCCACTTTTCAAATCAGCCTCATTGCCATAGAGGTAACAAGATCCAGACCAGTCTAAGACGAAAGGGGTGTGGGCTGTCTCTCGACAACAGGAAGAAACCCAAAAAAGTGGGGAAAGGCATTATGTAGACAGTTTTGGCAAGGGATTTAACTTGACAGTTTGTTTGAGAATATAATGGACAGAGATAAAAACACTGAGAAGCTAAGAGCTGCAGATGTCGCACATTCATTCATCAAAACCAAAGCCGACAAGGGGTGAATAGAAAAGTTAGCCTTATATTGGAGAAGAGAGCAGAACCAGAGTTAACTCTTTGAGTCCTAGGGGGTTTAGCATCACAGGCCCAAGGGGCAGTCAAGAAAGACGTAAAACCAGCGCATCTTGCTTTCATTGGGCTTCTAGGTAGGAAACTATGGAATGTATGATGCGTTCCTTGGGACTCAAAGAGTTAAGTTACATGTATGTGATTTTCAGGAAATTGCAAACCAACCCACCATTTAATAGCTGTTGTCTGGTTTTATTATGCGGCTTTATGGTCAGTAATTTGCTTTTGTTTTTATATTTTATCAAAGTTAAGGCAAATTATCCACTAACAAATCACCTCAACCAAGTAGCACAGGAAAAGTGTATGTCAAAAGCTAAAGTGGTGGGCAACAGATAATAAAATAAGCAACACCAGCATCATGCAAATATCAGATAATATGTTATGGTTGTAGTTGGTTTCAGACAAGGTACCTGAAGAAGCAGAAGGAGAAGAAGGAGAAGAAGAGGAGGAGGCAGAGAAGAATAAGGGGGAAAGAAAAAGAAGAAGAAGACAACTAAGAAAAAAGAGAATGAAGAGAAGAAGAAGAAGAAGAAGAAGAACAAGGGGAACAAGAAGAATAAGGAGAAGAAGAAGAAAAAGAAGACATTATAAAGACACACAGTGGAATTGTACAGTATACATTCTAAGCTTGCTATTTGTTATTAAACTATTGTCCTTTTCTGATGTGGCTGTTGTAGTCTGAAGGAGACATGCAGCCTCCCACATACAGTGACCTACCCAGTCTCATCACCTCCTACATCCACAAAGGAGAGAAGAATGGGCTGGTCTGTGCTCTAAAGAAACCTATATCCCCAGAAGGTACTGAGATCTTGGAAGCTGACTCAGGTATGATATATTCTGTGTTCAAAATAAAAATACTATGATTGATTGATTTGATTCAAGAACCGACATCACAGCACTCGGGGCATTCCCATAAGCGCTCCGTACCCATCTTCAGCAGCCAGCGAGTAGCATTCTGATTAAACGTCCGTCTTGCCTTTCCTCTGAGCCTCGAGCATCTGCCAGAACCTCTTGTCACCCCCCAACTGCATCAATCTCCCCAGACTGTGGTGATCCTTCTGCTCCTCCGAAATTAAAGTACTAAATAAAGGACTCCTTCTTGTACCATGAAGTGAACTAGTGAGAAAGAAAAAAGTGAACAGCCATTTTGCATCGAGGAGTATAAGGTATGTGGAGATATTTGAAACCAGTTGACATTCAGTTCATGCTGACTGCCTTTACTTCCAAAATGTTTCTTATTACCCATTTTAGGCTGGGTCAGACAGACTATAATGGAGTAAATGGTGCATATCCTATATTTTATAGACCAATTATCACTTGCTGAGAGATTTCGGTATCATTCCGGCCACCTTTACTTCTCACTATACTATTATCTCTTGTACTCATTTTTGGCTGAATCGGTTTTAAAACAAAAATTTTTAAATGATGGTATAATGTGCAGAACAAGAAATGTTGGAGTTGAGTTGAGTTTAGAATTGACATCACAGCACTCATTAAATTCCCATAAGAGTGTCTTAAGCAGCCAGCAAAGAGTTCTAGCTCTGATGATACCAGTAGCAGTCTGACTGTGAGCCTATCTTGCCTTTCCTGTGAGTGTGGAGTGTTGGTTAGATCTCCTGGTCACTCGTCGTTGCACATTCTCTTCCGACTCTGATGATCTAAGTGTGCCTCCGCTCTCTTTATTTTCTCCCAAAGGTCCTCAACATCATCTGGCACGTCCTGCATCAGTTTACAATCAAGGGGTGCAGAACCAGCCAGTCTGTCTGCCTGATGGTGACCAAACTATCAATGGACACCAGGAAACTTTCTGGGAAGAACATATGGCTGACATGATGTTGCCTCCAACACTGATCATGTGGCCCACCCTTAGGCTGTAATATTTTGGGAACAGCAACTTGTGTCCAGCGTGCTTCAAGACATGAAAAACGTCCCGTATTATTGCTTTACTACCAGGTGTCTCAGTCTGCCTGTCAAGGTTTCATACCATTGGTGAAAACTTCTGTAGAGCAACCCATCTCCATCAGACTCTACCCAGCACTAGTAGTGTAGGTTTCAGGTATGATTGGGAGCCCAGGTTAGTATTATAAACATACCACCTTGATAAGGATTCACAGCACCAGGCCATCAGGTCCACATGCTGGCTACTGTATAGGCTTGGTGCTAGAGATCATTCAAACTTTCTACACAACATGAACAGAAGGCTGCCATTACTGCTTGTATTTACCATTGTTGCCATGTCAACAGGGCGCTTATTGCCTCTGAGGATTTAGAACAGCATGGCTAGTGTTGTCGCCAGGAACTGAGGGATAGGATTTTATTTTTACACAACCTTACGGATTATTCAGACCTGGATCTCCAGTATGAGAGCCGAGCGTTCTTAACAATTCCGCCAGCCGCCATAAAGAGACGGACAATAATCTGTGGAGGAATGATGCTTGACGCAAATAAGGTGGAATAGAGATGTTAGCTTGAACAGAGACGTTAGTAGAACTAGAACAGAGCACTTATGGGTTACTATCCTTGTGCCATGATGTTGATCTGTTGTTCAAACCTAAACAAAAACCTGAGGACAAAAACAGGAAACAAATAATATTTCTGCTTTTTGCTTTTCTTCAGCAACTTTGTATTATGTTTTTTTCTCTTCAGAGGATGATGATTTTGATGATGCAAAACAATCAGCAGACACAAATGAGCAAAGTGGAGCAGCAAAGACTTTTAAGTTTGGTCTCCTGAGCAATTTTGCACGGCTAGACTTTTCAAGGTGAGGTCATTGGTCACATATTCTTAGTTACAGTGAAGAGAGAGATAGGGAGGGTAGGAGGAAGGACAATAGATGTGGGATCGCAAACATCAGAAAGACAGTCATCATTATGTTCATGTTATGAGAAGAGGGAAACTGGAACATGTTGTTACCACTGGAAAGATCTGTAGAAAGAGACAGAGATGGACAGTGAAAGAAGATTTTTGACAGCCATTTGTCATGGCATGGAGGGCTGTCAGCACATAAACTAATACACACAGTTGCGGAGAGGCATGATTGCCCATGCCAGTCGGCAAGGCACTTGATGATGATAAGAAAGAATAATAAACTTCAAGAGAGATAGGGAAGGGATGGGAATGGAATAGATAGGGTAGATAGATGAATAGAGTTGGAGAGAAAGAGAGAAATAATATTAAAAGGAACGCAGGCATGGGACCTGGAAGACTAGGTGAGTTATACAAATCTACCTTGATGAGGATTTGAATCCAAGACCTTTAGGCTAGCAGGCAAGCATCTAGCCACTTGTTACCAAGGCTGCCTCATCGTAAGATACGAGGCTGTTGAATATTTTATGACATCTTGAAGATAAAGGGGTTTAGAGATAGGAAGAAAATGCAGGACGAATTGACAAAGTGACAGTTGAATTTTTCTTAGAACAGAGAGATGTTTGCAAGGAAGTATGATTGCATGCACTGCTCATACAGGCACATTATAATGATGACAAGACAGTTCACGGACATTCTACCCAAAAACAATTATATGCTTCTTCTTTTTCTTCTTAGTGTGAGCCATTTGCAAACTGGTTGAAAGCTCTGGTTGTTCAGCCACTTCTAGTCTTGAGTTTTGTTCCAGAACTTGAGTTTTTCATGTACATCTGTTTTATTTATCTGGCTTTATGCAGACTTTTGGTTCCATGCCTCTGAGGCAGATTCACTGCAAACTGAAGAAAACACTAAATAGTTACCTTTTATGACAAGCTTGCTAGGGGTGGTTCTGGATTTTTTTTTTTTTCTCCCAAATGGGGCTTCCGAACCTACAGTGAGTTCAAAGATTATAGTGAACATTGATTTTCAAAAGATTATAGTGAACATTGATTTTCAAAAGATTATTGTGAACTTTGACTTTCAGCTGTGATGGGGAGTTTGTTGATGCCATGAAGGCCTATGTTGATGAGGGACTGGAGAAAGATGCTCAAGTGTTTGGGGCAGAAGGAGGCAGGTATGCAATGCCAGAGTTCCAAAAGCTGCTGGCTGTTGCAGGAAAGGGGCTTCAGAGGTAATGCATTCATAATGAGTGTTTTATGTTGTTTATGAAAAGGTGTAATAGTCAGAAACTGCATTTTATAAAATGAAGAACATCTTATGCAATATATCTCTGTGCCTGGCTCTCTAGCGTAGTTGGCTAAACTGGATTGCGCGGTGACTGGGTGACAAACTCCTTGTGGTCCAGGTTCACTCCCGGGGGTAGGCAGAAAAGCCACATTTCTCCCAGATTTACGGTGTTTACATTGGAATCAAGGCTGAAAGGTTGCGATATCCATAATACTGAGCCTAAGGGTTAACAACTCATGGCTTCTGGATACTAAAACAAAGAAACAAACAAACAGCAATAGATCTCTGTCATTGAAGGTTAGAAAAAGAATTCTTGCTTGCTACATACATCCAATTTTAACATGGCTGTGAGTCCTGGACAGTAAGTAGGCAGGCCAAACAAATTCTTGAGGTCTTAGAGATGTGGTTTTACAGAAGAATGCTTAAAATACCTTGGACAGCCACAAAGAGTAACCAAGAGGTTTTGAAAGAGGCGGGAGCTCGAAGACAACTTATCACAGACATCAGAAGGGGACAGTCATCATTTTTCAGCCATGTTATGAGAAGAGGGAAAATGGAACATGTTGTGACCACTGGAGGTATCTGTGGAAGGAGGGATAGAGGAAGACAACAAGAGAAGATTCTTGAGTCTTAGTGCATAGTATGGAGATGTGTCAGCACACAAACTGATGCATGCTGCAGGAGATCACAGATTGTGAAGAGGCGTGATCGCCCACGCCAGTCAGCAAGGCACCCGATGATAATGACGATAATAGATGAAGAGTCTGCTAGGCAGATAAGTTCTAAATATATATTTAAATATATTTTATATACATTAGCACTTCTTGTTATCAGCTCCACCGCAGTCACCCCCTATTTACTTTATCATATGTAAGTAACAAGTAAAGGACCCTTTCCCTCGCCTTAAGGCGGATTGGGTATATAGGGCTAGACCGATTTTTTTATAGACCAAAGGGCATTTGGTGAGTGATGTCGAAAACATCATGCTGGCCTCCTTTACTTCCAAAGAGTATACCTGGTAGGCTGAGTCGACCTGGGAGCCAAGGTCATTTTTGCAACAACAAAAAAAGTCAGGTCTTGAATCCACGTTCATTCACTTCTGGACTGCAGTCCTGTGTCAGAACATGAGTGTTGCGTGTGCATCCGTTTAACAGATCTGACTCATCTGTGTGCAGACTGTTGGTTCCTTGCCTCTCAGGCAGATGCACTCCAACTTGGAAGGAAGCTCCCAATTTGTCGACTCTTACGACATGCTTTTGGGTAGGCAGTGGGTCTATTCTTGTGTTCCCTATAATAGGGCCCCAGAACCCACACAGGGAACGTTTATCTGAAAGCTAAGATTTATTTGTTGATGGTTAGGGTAAGGTATAGTAGATGATGAGAGTGACAGTGTTATGTTAGAAATCAATTATTTTGTGCTTATAAAGAACTCAGTTTATATGTTTATACTAGTTTAATTCAAGGACCCTTTTCCATGCCTTCAGGCATATAGGGCTAGACCTATATTTTATATACCAGTTGATAGAAGTTAGAATGTGGCCAGGGGGTTAGAATGTTGTCATCATGGCGGTTGCCTTTACTTCCCAAGACTTTAACCTGGTACCCACTCAAGGCTGGGTCGACTTGGGACCCAAGGTCATTTTTGTTTTTTAAGTCCAGCTCTGTCAGGATTCAAATCCACGACCTGCCGATCCACAGGCGAGCATCTTGCTGCTACACCAAGGGGCCCTCACAAAAGTTCAAGTGACAAGATGATTTTATTGGATGACTGTTTTTTTCTCCTGTTCCTGATTTGCTTATGTTCATTATCAAACCCAGAGAGCTGGATGTGTTCTTACTGAAGTTGTCCATGTGCCAGGACATGCTGTCTCAAGAGGATGACGACAGGCGGAGGACACTGATATCCAACCCGGTGGATAGGGTAAGCCACAACATGCTTCTGTGAATCCCTGCACCAGATATCTTCTTCGTCGTTTCTTTGGCTGTCAACTCCAGGAAAGTTCTGGTTGTTAGCTCACTTCTGAAGTTTAGTTTTGGTTTACAGATCTGACTTGTGTGTGTGCTGACTGTTGGTTCCTCACCTCTCAGGTAGATGCGAACTGACTTTGAAGGAAACACCTCCAGTTAGTCGGCTTTTACAGCAAGCTTGCCAGGGGGGCAGTGTTTGCCCAAATGTTCTCTTTGAGTGCTGGAGGTCCTGGGTTCAGACCCCGGTGAAGGCTGGGATTTTTTCACGTGGACTTCTAGTAATTTACCCTAGTCTCTGGGTAGTAAGATCGGACGCCCATGTGTATTGTTGCACTCGTAAAAAATCTCTTGGCAGTTGGAAATCAAAAAGAATAGCCTAACGGCGCTGCCCATGAAAAATTTGGAGTTAAAAATCTACCTAAAGTATTTCAGGATCCTCGCCAGGACTACAGAGTTCATGCACTGCACTGAGATTCTTCAGACTCAGGCTTGAATTAGAAGTAAAATGGAGCACTTATGGGTGACTACCCCATGTGCCATAATGTTGATCCGTTGTTCACACCTTCAAAACCTTCAAACTTGGGGACACATCAGATATTACTGACTTCATAATGCTTTTCCCACCATTTTGGGTTACTTCCTGTCATGTATTTATATTTTTCAACAACATAAATACGTTGGCTCTTTCATTCCCAGATAATAAGTAAAAGTAAAGGACCCCTTTTCCTGGCCTTTAGGCGTATTGGGCATATATTGCTAGACTTATATTTTAAAAGACCAAGGAGCACTGCTGGTTTCAGTCCCAGATGGTCATAGCTAAATCCCCAAACAGGTCATAATGATATCCACACAGTTATGGGTAAACTACATCCACAGGAGCTAAATACACAACCCTTTTATGGGTTCTTAAAACTAGGTATTACTGAACATCACATGTATTCGGACACTGCTAGATAAGTTGAGGGGATTAGATCTTGACTAGATCATGATTTCCTTCCCCCACAGAAAAATGTTGCCTGTTCTAAATCTCAGGTTACTGTGTTACTTTCGGGAATCCTAGCGTAACCTTACAGATGAATGAAATGAGGTTTACTAGCATTTGTATGAGGGCACTTCAGATGAAAACCTTCCAAATTTAATAGAAATTACAGTCACCATACTGTTGTCTTGTAACATGTCAGAATTGATATTGAGGATGTCAAGAGTGTTAAGCATGTGACATCATGGTGCAGACGAACATGGTGACTTCATAATGACATTTTTAAAGATGGCCTACCCACGTTTGACATGCACCAAAGGGAGTAGTATTCTGTTATCCAGTTTTTTATCAGTGGGGGAGGGAAGGGGGGGGGGGGGGGGGGGTGAAAACATAGAAATTCATAGGCGAATGAAGGTGCAGTATTTTGATGCCTGTTTGCAGTCCAACGAGTGTATGAGTGTAGTAGGAAGTTTCAGAACAGTGTCATCTCTGTGACAGACTATTCACGACCCGATCAAGCACACAGAGAAGTGAACTCAAAATCAATTGCAGCCGTTGAAAGCCTTTTTTGAGATAGTCCTGTTATAACTGACATTTACTATTAAATCTGTTGAGATAGTCCTGTTATAACTGATGTTTACTATAAAACCTGTTCGGATAGTCCTGTTATAACTGACATTTACTATCAAACCTGTTCAGATAGTCCTGTTATAACTGGCATTTACTATCAAACCTGTTCAGATAGTCCTGTTATAACTGACATTTACTATCAAACCTGTTCAGGTAGTCATGTTATAACTGACATTTACTATCAAACCTGTTCAGGTCGTCCTGTTATAACTGACATTTACTATCAAACCTGTTCAGGTCGTCCTGTTATAACTGGCATTTACTATCAAACCTGTTGAGATCGTCCTGTTATAACTGATATTTACTATCAAACCTGTTCAGGTCGTCCTGTTATAACTCGCATTTACTGGTAGTCTGGTAGTCTTAGTTTCAGCTTCAGATGGTCACCCCATCTTTGCTCCGCTCCTGTGCCAATGAAAAACACACAGAATGTCTATCACAGTCCCTTGTGGAAAGATTGACAGACTGCTGTCTCAGCATATCTAGCATACACTCGCATTAAAGCATACGATAGCCATCCGAAGTGCTAACACAAACAGTCCAACATTAGAAATGCAGTTCATCATTGATGATAGCAGAACCTGTCGCCAACAGATTAGCAGTTTTAATCACATACAGGCACCGCCAACATTGCACGACAGGCATCGCACCATTTTCTGAATCTACAATTCACACCACCACGTTGGTCACAGTCGAAAAAACATTTCAAATACAATCCGCAGCTCACAGTGTCACGCCATGCATTCAACTCAGAAGCTGGGCGACGAAACTATATACAGTCTACAAATGGAGCAAAAATGATCGGCCACCGTCCGGCAGAAGCACAAAATCTGCCTCTGCTTCGAACAGTGCCGCTGCCTAGTGTCCATTTTTACTATCAAACCTGTTGAGATCATCTTGTTCTAACTAGCATTTGCTGTTGTTTGATATGTTCCTGCAGATGGGGTCTTACATAGATTTTATGGCTGCCAAGCTGGAGACATGTCGGACCCACATACTTGCACTGGAGAAAAGGGTAAGAGAATGTCTTCTTTGTGAATGAATCCAGCATCTGCCCTTTTAACACTTTTAGTCGAAGGCAGGTTTTTTTTTTTTTTATTAACTCATTGATTCCTTCATATTTGCTCATCATCATCATCAGTTAGCAAGTCTCCTACAGAACATTGCTCTGGGCATGGCACGGCTGAAAATCTCTCTTTCTTTTGGCACCTCTTCAGGCCTATATGCTTTCGTGGCCAGTGCATCTTCAGTGTCTTGTATCCAATTTCACGGAGGTTGGCCGCTGCCTCATTTACACATATATGATACCTACAGTAAGAAATATTCAGATCCTGAGGAGTTTAAATAACACAAAGGGGCAAAAGGAATTATTTTTACATGGATTATTGTAACAGCTGTATGGAGAAAATATATTTAGCAAAGCAAATCGGGTAAAGAGGAACCAGTAAACACGTAATGTGCCCACTGGTACTTAACTAGTTAATATACACTTTACTGACAATATAATACTTTCATCATCATTATCCAGTGCCTTACCGACTGGCTTTGACAGTCATGTTTCATGTTTCCCCACAATGTTTAACAGAATATTTCAATTTTCATGCTGAGACCTTTCCATGCCATTTCCATGCCATGATTAAAAGTTTCAGAGAATCTATAATCTTCTCCTGTGGGCTTTCCCTGTCTCTCTTTCCATCATTCATAGTAGGTTAGTATTTGTGGCTAAGCTTTCTACACGAGGATTTATCAAACCCCCAAGTCCAGTCCCTCTTAGTTGCTTTGTAAGATAAAGTTGAGAGGACCCGCATAATACACCAGTTTTTATCCCGCATGACTTGGTCTTTCTCCACATAACAGCTAGCCACCTGCCAAGAGCTTTGCACAAAGCATGAACTTCGTAGCTGCAGCTATGATCCCCAGGGATTGGGTAAAAATTGCACTCATGAACCGAGTGACATATCAGTGAATTGAACCCTTGACCTTCGGAGTGCGAGGCTAAGGGCTTGCTAGAAACAGTATTGAAAAGTTTTGCTTATCTTGAGGGCTTTAGTAACAACCTTTAACTGTTTCCTATGGAATTCTTTATTAACAAGAGTTCATTACAAGAGAAATCATCACCTCCATCAAGTGTCTTGCCAGCTGGCATAGGTGTTCATACATCTCCACAGATCTGAGTCTTTGGTGTTTTGGATCAATACACCGATGATATTCCTCCATGTCTTCAGCCATCCACCAATTTTTCTCTTGGTCTTCCTCTTCTACCAGTGATCTTTCCAATTGTCACAATATTTTCCAACTCACCTTTTCTCATCACATGACCAAAGAACTTTGTCTTTTTCTCATTGTTGTATATAATGTTCTACTTTCATGAGCCATTTCCAGGCAATCGTTGTTAGTTATTCTGGTAGTGCAAAGTATTCTCAACATTCTTCTCAAGAACCACATCTTAGTTGCCTTCTCCCCCGTGTTTGTTTCGGGGCCCTGTTATAGGGAAAACAAGAATAGACCCATTTTCTACCCAAAAGCATGTCATAGGAGTCGACTAATTGGGAGGTTCCTTCACAGTCTCGAAGCTTAACTGCCTGAGAGGCAAGGAACCAACAGTCTGCATGGAAATTAGTCAGATCTGTCAAACTGATGCACATGCAACACTCAGGTTCTGGAACAGGACTGCAGTCCAGAAATGGACGAATAACCAGAACTTTCCACTAGAGTTTTCAGCTGGTGAACGTGAAGAAGAAGAAGTTGCCTCCAGACTCTTCTTAATTTGTTTACAAGAAAAAAAAATGGCCAAACCAAACATGATTTATGTGTGCCCCACTGACATACAATGTATCTGAATGCTTGATTTGTCATGATACTTTTATTGAAGGCTCATGAACTGGTCAAGGAGAGCACTGAAACCAAACATGATTTATGTGTCCCCCACTGACATACAGTCCCCCACTGACATAAAGTCCCCCACTGACATACAGTCCCCCACTGACATACAGTCCCCCACTGACATACAGTGTATCTGAATGCTTGATTTGTCATGATCATTTTATTGAAGGCTCATGAAGTGGTCAAGGAGAGCATTGAAACCAAAGACAATGAGTATGCCTACCCTGAGGTGTCCACAGCCCCAGAGCATGTCAGTACAAACTCCTACCTCCCAATAATGATGAGAAAACACAGCAGCATCAGCATTCCTTTGTCCACATTTGAGGTCAGTGATTGTTGTTTTTCTTAGTAACATTTGTTTACATTAAATTGTCTTTAAACCAGTTTTCATTCACAATGCTCTTTTCTTCTTCTTCTTCTTTGTGTCCACTTGGGTGGAAAGTTCTGGTTGTTTGTCCACTGTTGGAGTGCAGTCCTGTTCCAGAACCTGAGTGTTGCATATGCATCCGTTTGACAGATCTGACTCATTTGTGTGCAGACTGTTGGTTCCTTGCCTCTGAGGCAGATGCACTCCGACTTTGATGGAAGCTCCCATTTAGTCGACTCTTACAACATGCTTTTGGGTAGGCAGTGGGTCTATTTTTGTTTTCCCTATAACTGGGCCCCTTAACCCCCAAGGCGAAAATTGTCTTTAAGCCAGTTTTCATTCACAGTGCTCTTTTCTATGTTTCTTCTTCTTCTTCATCATTTGTCCAAGTGATGTAGATGCGTTGTGTCTGTTTACAGCATAGCTGCGAAATGTGTGCCTTTCGGCTACCACATCCAACTTCTTCAGGGATTTGTTGTTATCCAGATTAGCCTACCTGGTTAGTTTCATGGGACATTTGTAGCCCCATATGAGTGGTGACTTCATCATCCCCTGACCCATAGGTGTTTCCAGCAGTGTGCTGATTGGTTTACCTTAAGGGGAAGGCGGGACTGGAGCTTGGGGTATTCCCCACTATCCATACAGGCTTCCATAAATGCAGAGCCCATAAATGGCACTCTGGTCTCAGTAAAGAAATTGTCACATTTTGCACATGACTGTTTATCCTCATGTCCATATATTGAGCCTCCAAGCATTCAAGAAGCTTGCAGTTATGGAAAAATTAGCGGGTACCACATGGGGCGCTAACTCTAGAATCCTAAAACAAGTATATACTGGAGCAGTCAGGCCAGTCATGGAAAATGCCTCCACTGCATGGGCTGCAGCAGCCAAGACAACAATGGGAAAACTGGACAAGGTTCAGAATATGGGATTAAGGATTGTTCTCGGAACCATGAAAACCACCCCCATCAGAGAAATAGAAAAGATAGCAGATACTGAACCACTCAAACTCAGAAGACAATACAAAACTCTTTTACAGTATGAGAAATTAAAACGACTTCAAAGTCACCCACTGCATTTTAAATTTCAAGAGAGAACAAAAAACAGACTGAAGCGTCAGAGCTCCAACCACCTTGCTAGAGAACTGTACAGACAGCACCAAGATCTGCTTGATAGAGATGTTGCACTGTGCGAAAAACTTAGGCCAGAACCATGGACAAGCAAGCCAGAGAAAGCAAATGTAGTTCTAAAGGTACCAGGAATCACTTCAAAAGATGCCCAGACGGAGACACAACAGAGAACCCTGGCTCTTGCTATGCTTGATGAGAAGTATCCAAACACCACTTGGACTCAGGTTTTCACCGACGGCTCTGCTATAGATGCAGTCAGAAAGGGGGGTTGTGGAATTTCGATTAAACCCCCTAGCAGTAGAGCAGAAACTCTCTCTCTACCAGCAGGTGACATCTGCACTAACTTCAGAGCTGAGGCAACTGCCCTCCTCTCTGCAGTCCAACATCTCATCACTCAAGAACACAGAGGGCACCAAATTGTTATACTTAGTGACTCATTGTCTGTTCTCCAAGCACTATCCAGCAAAAAACAAGACACAACAAATTGCTGATCTAAGGACCAACATTGGCTTACTCTCCAAGGAAGCAGAACTGGTCTTGCAGTGGATACCAGCCCACTGTGGTATTCAAGGAAATGAGAGAGCAGATGAGTTGGCAAAAGCTGGGATTAATCTTCCACAACCTCATCCACCACACAGCTACAAGGAAACCAAAACAGCGCTAAAGCAGTCTTTCAAGCGGGAGTGGAGAAGGCAGAATGGAGATTACAGACCAGAGAGTGACAGCATAAACAAACTCAACAGGAAAGAACAAACATCAATTTTTAGACTTCGGACTGGACACTGTGGTCTTCGAGCACACCTGTACAGGATAGGCATAAAAGAATCTGCTGCCTGTGATTGTGGAGCAGAAAGACAGACCCCTGAGCATATACTACAGTACTGCCCTAACCTCTCCCAGCAAAGACTGTGGATCTGGCACAAGGAAGCCACATTGCAAGAGAAGCTATGGGGGACCGGTGGCGACCTTAAACGCACAATCCTATTTGTGACCCAGACGGGACTCAGTGTTTAGCATGACTGATGTAGAACGCAGAAGAAGAAGAAAAGATTGAGCCTCCAACTCATTATGGGGTGCACCTTTTAAAGACAGACCATCAGGAAGAGGTATTCAAACTTAAGACTCCAAATCCCTACACAAATGGGCATCTCACTTCCCTTTCGTGTAGATGCCCCTGAACATTTTGCAGCATTTATGGGAGGCATGTGAGCAACTTCTATAAAAGACTGACTACATGATGATGATGATAATGAGAGGGTAGGGAGAATGTTGTTATTTAGTTAGTCGACAAATTATCCTCATTGCACGTCAAACCATTCAACCCATAAGTGCTCGGATCCCCTCCTTAGTCAATCCTGCAGCGTGGAGCGGCTCACTACACCAGTTCTGTGTTGGTTTCTTATTCTTCTGTGGCTTCCTGCATAGTGCTCTTGTTTGGCCACACCCCTTTTAACATGTTGTTCTTGCAGTCTGATTATGGTTGCAGATTCACAGTCATTGCTTGGTTCTCATAAACATCCTACTTCTCATTTAGCATTCAGAATATCAGCATGGTCCATAGTTCATCCACCTTCCACAGTAGCTTTACCTGCAAGCCGATCAGCTTGCTCATTTGCTTGCACGCCTACGTGAGTGGAGAATGTTGTGCCAACCAGTAGGATTCTGAAAATTAGAGGAAGGGAAAGAAAGTGCTGAGTAGATTGGGAAAACGGTGTGGAAGACAATGAGCTGAGCTTATAAAGAACAGCGGCGGTAAGTGGTTATAGAGAAATATGAGTATGACACCACCAAGCAGAGCATCCATTTATAATATTCTTTTTTTAAGGCCTGAGGCCAGTCAGAATAGATTGAAAGTACACGAGTTAGGTTGGGTGGTAGTTGCACCCCACCAGGAAGGAAATCACACAAGCGATAGACACCCGATGACACAAAGCGCCACCATGCAGATGAGGATCACCTGTGAAGAGGTCCCAGAAACCCCTTTCACCTGTTAAGCCATATCTGTCCGGCTATATTCAGGGCTTCAAAATCACAAAAAATTGCATCCCACATGGGGGTAGTAGGTTGTGGATAGACATGACTACCAGTGCTACACTGCATTGACTGTAAGAAAAAGAGAGAGGTGAAAAATGCTGGACTGGATTCTATTCATGATGTTGAAACAGTTGCACAAGATAAAATGGAATGTAAGAATACACTGGAGGCCATAAAAATTTATAAAGGATGATATAAAAAAAAAAACCCACAGGATTATTTTGATGTGCATGAAGGGGGCTGAGAGAAATGTTATGAATAAATCTACTTAGGTAGTCAATGAGTTAATATGTTAGTCATTAGTGGAGGTTCCAGCTTCATCCCATAGCAGCTCAGTCCCTATGCCAATGGAAGTCACACAGAATGTCTTTCACTGTCTCATCACAAGCACTACCTCTCAAAAGATCAGTTACAAGAGCAGGAGAACAGGCGCTGAAAATATGGATCGACAAACTTAAAGACACTCTATGCCTTCACAGCATGACAATAGCCAGTGGCAGCCAGCATGCACTGGATCGCAAATTATTCCTCCCTACGACGCTTATTGTCAAAAGTGGTTTATGATGTGGATGATTATGATGATCAGTACTAGCTTGCATGTGCAAAATAAATACAGTAGTAACAGTATAATGAGTGAATACATTGTCTGCAGGTGAAAGTATTGAAATATGGGAAAGCCAACTACAAGTTAAAGCTAACTGTGGACATACACCAGGGCCGTTTCTTTGCCGTCAAGCCTTCTAAAGACCTGCTGGATGCAAGTAATACATTTCCTCATGATAAAAGTAAGTCACTGTTGTTATATCATCTTCTTTCTTGTGATATCCATTTGTCTTTGATTTGCCCCTCCTGAATGATTGAATCAGCAGTTGACCCCCACTTACAATGGGTAGAAGATGTCAAGGTCTAGTTTACCCCTACTTATAATGGGTAGAAGAGGTCAAGGTCTAGGTTACTCCTACTTTAATGGGTAGAAGATGTCAAGGTCTAGTTTACCCCTTCTTTAATGGGTAGAAAATGTCAAGGTCTAGTTTACCCCTACTTTAATGGGTAGAAGAGGTCAAGGTCTAGTTTACCCCTACTTTAATGGGTAGAAGATGTGAAGGTCTAGTTTACCCCTACTTATAATGGGTAGAAGAGGTCAAGGTCTAATTTACTCCTACTTATAATGGGTAGAAGACATCAAGGTCTAGTTTACCCCTACTTACAATGGGTAGAAGATTTCAAGGTCTAGTTTACCCCTACTTATAATGGGTAGAAGATTTCAAGGTCTAGTTTACCCCTACTTATAATGGGTAGAAGACGTCAAGGTCTAGTTTATCCCTACTGATAATGGGTAGAAGAGGTCAAGGTCTAGTTTACCCCTACTTATAATAGGTAGAAGACATCAAGGTCTTGTTTACCCCTACTGATAATGGGTAAAAGAGGTCAAGGTCTAGTTTACCCCTACTTATAATGGGTAAAAGAGGTCAAGGTCTAGTTTACCCCTACTTATAACGGGCAGAAGAGGTCAAGGTCTAGTTTACCCCTACTGATAATGGGTAGAAGAGGTCAAGGTCTAGTTTACCCCTACTTATAATGGGTAGAAGAGGTCAAGGTCTAGTTTACCCCTACTTAAAATGGGTAGAAGACGTCAAGGTCTAGTTTACCCCTACTTATAATGGCTAGAAGACATCAAGGTCTAGTTTACCCCTACTGATAATGGGTAGAAGACGTCAAGGTCTAGTTTACCCCCACTTATAATGGGTAGAAGACATCAAGGTCTAGTTTACCCCTACTGATAATGGGTAGAAGAGGTCAAGGTCTAGTTTACCCCTACTGATAATGGGTAGAAGATGTCAAGGTCTAGTTGATCCCTACTTACAATGAGTAGAAGACTTCAAGGTCTAGTTGACCCCTACTTACAATGAGTAGAAGACGCCATGGTCTAGTTGCCTCCCTTCAGCACAATATAACACTATTGCCTGGGAAGAGGAAAAGGTGCCAAGAACAACAAGAAACAAGTGATCTCACTGTACTTGCTACATTCCAGTGTGTGCTCTGCCTCCCTTTGTCAGTAGTCAGTAAAGAGAACTTATGCTGATAGTGCTGGTGGCAAAGTTATTGGGATTCCTCTTGAATTTTTCTCTACACATTGAGTAATGACCAAACACCCTGCTCACTTCCTGTGCTGAATCAGGCTCGCCAAGTTGATCCCAGAGAGCTCTCACCATATTCCCCCTTATTATAAAGTAGATTGCTGACTAGAGGAGCAGCATCAGCCACTGAATCAGCCAGCTTTTTTCCCAGCACACTTGATATCTGAGGCCTAAAATTCCCTTATCAAAGACCTCTGATCGTTTCTCCACATATATCTGTATTGATAAACAATTTGTAATTTTTCTGCTCGAGGTTTGCAGTCTGTAAGATTAACATCTCATGGATGAGAATCAAACTCTGCTCAACCAATATAACACTGTTATACTGGGACACTGTAGAGTTATAGAGAACCTTGCAGAACAATGTGGGCTGTTATGAGTATTATAATACATGTGAAATAAACATTTGAAATTCACTCTCTCAATGATACACGTGAGAGCTTCAAATACAAACCTTACAAATGTCATAGAAATTACAGTAACAGTCATGGTCTTGTAACCTGTCAGTGTTGTTGTTAAGGATGTCAGTATTGTTAAGCATGTGTCATCACAATGCAGAGGAACACGGTGATGTCATAATGATAATTTAAAGATATCCACCTCACTGTTGACATGCCCCAAAATACAGCAGGATTCTGTTATCCGTTTTTGATCAGTGAAGAGGTGAAACATCAGCGATTGAAAGTCCAGTGTGGTCAGTCCAGCAATCATTGGTTTTCCCATAGGAGGCCTTCAGTGGCTACAATCCACTCTGCGGTCACTACTCAAGCCCCTGACCTGGTTATCTGTTACAGAAGTCATGAAACTTTCTACATCACTTGTTCAGCATCCACTCTTCTGATAGGTAACCTATACCGTATTTAAACTTACTTTGCTTTGTCCATTTCAGTTGTTCAGTTGGTCAAAAACACAACAGACAAAAGCCGGCTCCATGTGATCTTCAGCAACAAGAAGAAGTACACTTACCAGTTCCAGAGTGTTCTAGAAAGGGAGAGCTTCTGTTTGCAGATCCGACAGATGAAATCGTTGCACTCGGCAGAACAAGATGTTGATAACGTCTCTGTGTTTATTGGGACTTGGAATATGGGTAAGTGACTCCTAGATAAGGTAAGTAGACGGTTTAGCTGGATCCTGCAAAACGATGTACACATCCTCACTTCTGCTACTTGAAAAGTGCAAGACAAATACAGGATCATTGAAACTGATTGCCAGTATTTTAAACTGTTACTTAAAACAGTAGAAAGTCCTGGTTGTTCATCCATTTGGACTTTAGCATTGTGCCAGAGCCTGATTTTTTTGTCAGTTTTACTGGCTTATTTATGTGCAATTGGTTGCTGCTGGCCAATCGGGCAGATGCACTCCAATTAAAAAATAAAAGCCTCCCATTAGCCAACTCCTACGATCTGCTTGTTTGAGAGGCAGCGAGTTTCTTCTTGTTTTTCATAATTCAAAATGCCTGCCATATGTTTGAGCTGATGCATGAAATCTTTGCATCTGGCTGGCAGTCTTTACTCTGGCCTTTTTTTTTTTTTCTTCCTTCAAATTTGGGGTTACATTACAAGTTTCCTGAAAAAAGCATGCTAGGCAAACTACTGGACGTAAAATTTGGTTAGAAAAACCACAACAGCCTATAAATGCTGGGGCTGGTTCTGCAACGTCCTGAAAAGGATGTGCAGTTAACTATGGCCTTTTTTTTTTTTTCAGATTAGCTTTCAGATTCTCCCTGACTGCTAATACTTTCATTTCATCTGACGTCTTTAGGAAAATCAGCCCCTGTTGAATCCCTCAAGTACTGGCTGAAATGTAACGGCGATGGCAAGAACCGAGACAGGACTCTTGGCCGCCTTCCCCACGATATTTATGTGATAGGAACTCAGGAGAGTGGGATGGCGGAGAAGGATTGGATCAACACTATCAAAGCTGCACTGAAAGCTGCCCTCAACCTCGATGTCGATCTGGTAAGTGGGCTCATAACATGAAGAACAATGGTATATTTATTCTATTGTTCTTCTTCTGTGTCTTCCTTTAAAGGTAGGTTGGTACATTGGGTTTGTGGTTTACAGCTAGACTGTGATATCTGCACCTTTTAGTCCGTTACATTTGATTTAAGCTAACCATTAACTTTTTGCCTTTAAAAAATGCTGATTAAGGGGGCAGAGTCAATACCCCCCCCCCCCTCTTCCCATTTTTTAATACCTGGAACCCACACGTGTAATTTTTATTTTTTGTACAATTTATTTTAACATTTTCTTTTACAGCCTTCTTTTTCTTCTCTATGGAGCCATGGCAGTGGTGTAGTTAAATACTTGCCTGCAAGCCTGAACATTTTGGGTTTTAATCTGCATTTTGTTAGATTTTTATGAATGACCAAGGTTGACCCAGCCAAATGTAGCTACCAAGAAATGTAAGGATGTAAAGATGGCCAACTATGTCACCTGCAGTGCTGATTGCTGTATAAAAATATGGATCCAGAACCATTTGCTGAAAGTTTCAGCAGCATAAAAATTGTCCTTTTCTTCATTTACCTAATTCTTCTAATTGTCAGAATTTGTCTTCCGCCCTCCTGCTTCGTATTTTCATCCTTCTCAACCCATTCTTTCTTTGTCCTCCATCTTTTTTTTAAATTTTAATTTATTTCTTACCTCTCCTTTCTCAGCACAAGTTTTTTTAGATCTCCTTAAGATAACTAGATGATGTAACATTTGTAAGGTTTCAGTTGTTGTTATGACATTGCATCTCTGTATGATTCCAGCTTGAGTCCTGTTCACTGTGGGGTCTAAGAATATTAGTGCTGATAAACCCAAAACATCGGAACAAGATCAGTCATATCCAGAAGGCATCGGTTCGTACAGGGATAGCTAACGCTCTGGGTAAGTGCAAGTTAGCAAAATAGTTTTTTTTTTTCTATTTTTTAACTCTTTGAGTCCCAGGGGGTTTAGCATCACAGGCCCAGGGGTAGTAAAGAAAGTCATAAAATCGGCGCACCATGCGTTCATTGGGCTTCTAGGTAGAAACCTATGAACTTATGATGCGTTTCTTGGGACTCAAAGAGTTAAAGCTGTGTTTGTGATGGAGAAGTTGAACAGAGGATTAATAAAATGTGCACTTATAAGATGTCGTCAATTGTAGTAGTTGGGGAAACAGAATGTGAAAGTGCTATATAGAACCCATTTTGGTATATGAATGTGAAACATGGACAGTAAACAGACAGCCTGACAAATGGGAAGAATATTGCGGAATTACAAAAAAATGAATGAGGCGGTCCTCCTCAAGACAGATGAAAGCGATATACTGATCATAACAAGTTGACAAAGACAGTTGGTGTTTGTTTTTTAAACATGTTACCAGAAAAATGAACACGCTAACTTGTAACAACTGACAAGAGTGGTGGAAGAAAAGCAAGGGAAAGGCAAAAAAAAAAGATAAATATCTGGATGGTTCGGCCACATAAATGGGGGCGAGACAAGACCATTGACCTGATCTCTGGTTCTGGTGATCGTGTAGGATGGCAAACATTAAAGCATACGCTTATGGGCACAGTATATGTTGATGGTAAAATGTGCTGATGACAGTGTTGCAGTGTGAGCAGGTGTTTCAACACTCAGTGGAGCAGGGAAACATGTAACTTGCAGAACGTATATTAGATATTATTAAAAAAATGACTGAATAAGTTGAGTTGAGTCAAGAATCGACCATCACAGCACTTGGGGCATTTCTGTGTGTGCTCCGCCCCCATCTTCAGCAGCCAGCGCAGAGTTCCAATACTGATGGTTATGGTTACAATCTGGTTATATGTCCGTCTTGCCTTTCCTCTGAGTGTAGTGAGCCGGCCAGACCCTCTGGTTACCCCGGGTGCCTCATTCTCTCCTGACCATAATTATCTTGTTTCTCTACTGATTCTGTTGCTTGTTGAAAAAAAAAATGACTGAATGATGCTCAGTTAGTTATAGCAATAGAACGCGTGTTGAATGCCAACCAGATCCCCTGATCACATCTTTCTGCACTGTTCTTTTCACAGGATGATGTTCTGTTTGTGCTTCTGCACTGTTCTTTTCACAGGATGATGTTCTGTTTGTGCTTCTGCACTGTTCTTTTCACAGGATGATGTTCTGTTTGTGCTTCTGCACTGTTCTTTTCTCAGGATGATGTTCTGTTTGTGCTTCTGCACTGTTCTTTTCACAGGATGTTCTGTTTGTGCTTCTGCACTGTTCTTTTCACAGGATGATGTTCTGTTTGTGCTTCTGCACTGATCATTTTCTCCAAAGGACCTTGACCTTATCCAACTTATCATTCATCAGTTTGCTGCCGGGTGGTGTAGAACCAGCCACCCTGTCTGCTTGGTAATTTTTTAGCACACCTGTATCCCCTGGAGGAAATATCCATTGTTAGTTTGTTAGCCAACAGATTATAATCATCGCACATTGAACCATTTAGTCCATAAATGCTCAGATCCCCTCTTCAGTATCTCCCTCTGTGTAGTGGCTTATTACACCAGTTCTGTGTTGGTTTACTGTTCTTCTTTGATCTCTGTGTAGCGCGCTTGTCTGGCTTCACCCCCTTTTGATGTTATTTTCGTGTAGTCTCGTCAGTGTTGCAGTTTCACAATCATTACTTGATTCGTTTAATCAAGCCCCCTCTCTGAGGTCATTCAGTATATCAGCCCTGTCCTTTGCTCGTCTGTCTCCCACGTGGGCATCACTTGCAAGTCTGTCAGCTCTTTCATTGCCCTTCACACCGGAATGCCCTGGAACAAATATGAAACTGATTTTTGTCAACCTAGATCTATTCAAGGACTCCACCCATTGTCTTTGTATGCAGCCCTTCTCAATCGTCTTGTGCATATTCATTGAGCCGGTGAGAAAGCATGCCTGAGCTGAGCTGTAAATGCCCACAAGCTCCTGACATTTTAAATGACAGACCCGTCTGTGTAGATGATCACATCGCCCTCAGAAGAAATCTCACATTTCAAGGCCTGCACTTCCGCTTCCTCAACTACTGGGTTTTGTTGTCTGCATTCTCTATGTTCAGCTTGATGCATACTTCAAAGGATGTATGACACTCCGGTGGTACACGTACCCATTCATCCCCAAGTTCTAGGTCCTCAAGTGGAAAAATCTCTTGTATAATATCCTCGGCCTTACCCATCCATGATTTTTCTCTCTTTAATCTGCTGCCTTTTCTTTTCCTGATTTCACCATGTAGTGGGTGTTGTGTGTCATCACTGACTCGGAGTTAGGCGTGTGCTCGACATATCCTTATTCTAGCTTCCATTGTTGGAAAACCAAGGAGTTACCGCATTGCTTTACAGGCTGTATCTTTAGTGCACCCAAGCCTAATGTGCATGGCCTTGTTTTGTGTCTTTTCCAGTCTCTCGCTGAGTCTGGTTAAGAGTAAGGATCACCAGGGCATAGTCGATCACTGAAAGGAAACATCCAAAGGACATTAACTGCTCGGGATTTGTTTGATGCTTCTGCATGTTTTTAAACCATACATCAGCACTTATTTGTCATTCATATACTGAAAAATCAGATTACCATATAATAGGAATGCGCAAAAATAATAAAATTACTTTCAGGCATGAATAAGACATGGTTGCAAATAGACTTGTTTTCTTCCTAGGGTTTTTAGTTTTTTTTGGGGGGTTTAAATTTAATAATTTAAAAAACATTGTGTTTTTTATTCCACGGTTTAATTTTGTGTTTGTTTGTTCAGGTAACAAGGGAGCAGTAGCCATATCTTTTCTGCTGAGTGGCACCTCCTTTTGTTTCATTAATGCTCACCTGGCTTCAGGTGAGGAGAGACTAGACAGGTAAGTATTAGTAGTACATGTAAAAAAAAAAAAAAGTAAAGTTCCCTTTTCACGCCTTTCGGCGCATCGGGCATATGGGCAGAGCGTCCCATATTTTTACAGACCATCAGCACTCAGTGGGTAATGTGGTCAGAGTAGTACATGAGTAATGTATTATTCTTTACCTGTCCCACATATCTACAGGAGCTTGTTTGATCTTTGTTTGCCCTTAAGCAGAGGAGAAGTTTGTAGAACAGGCTTGTCTAGCTGAGAATTCCCCAAGGGCCATACGAATCATATTTTTGACTTCATGAGGGCCCCACACGACAACTATTTGGAGTCATTTAGTAAAATGTATCATAGAATATTTCCTTTGTGCAGGTGTGTTTGTGTTTGTGTGTGTGTGCGTGTCCATGTGTATGTGGGGGGAGGGGGGGGGGGGATCGATGATGTGTTTTTGGGTCAGTCAAGCCTAAAACGATAGCTGGTGCAGTATCGACATCACCCTCTAATGCCTGTTACAGGTCTCCAGGAAGTTTCGTGTCTGCCTTCAGAGCTCTACCTTTCTTTTGTCCACTTTTGGCTTGGTGCCCCTAGATGTCACAGGTAAACAAATGATTGGTGTCTGAGCTAGGGCACAACGAGTTGCCCGGTAGGCTGTGATGATGTTCAGTTTTAGGATCTCAGCAACTCCTTCGGTCCATCTTCTTCTTGGTGTTTATACTTTTATATTGTACACTGTCATTGTTTTCCCAATAAATTAAAGTGTTGTTTAAATAGTTCTTGTAATTTTTTTTAAACTACTTATAGAGCTTTTGGCAGTGAACATTTAAATCCACTGCCGGTTTGCTAGACCTGTCGCAAATGCAGCCTTAAAGTTTCAACCTACATCCTCCTAAATAGTCACTTTTTTTATGTACAAGTTCAACAGCTATTTTTAAAAAGTTAAACCAGTTAGCTGGACCTGTCGCAGGTGCAGCCTTAAAGCTGAAAGTCTAAAAACCTAAATATTCCTAAATAGTACCCTTTCTTTTATCTACAAGTTCAACAGCTATTTTAAATAAGCTAAACCATATTTTGGTTTTTTTTAACGGTATCTTCAATGTAATTACAAATATTTCTCATACACATGATGCCTATACTACCATCACCGTCACTGACAGTCACCATAAGAAAATAAATTTATAAAAGGCAGGCTTGAAGGTTAAGCACAAGTAAAGTAAAGGACTTTTTACACCAGGGGTACATGTAATGATCTTACATAATAATAGAAAGTAATAGAAATAGAACAGGCACACACACACACGCACCCATGCATGCATGCACACTTACTTGTATGCACGCACACCCCACATTCACACACACACACTCACTCTCATACGTCCCTCCCCCTCCTCCAGGATGTGAAGAGTGTTCATTTCTATAGTTCCTGAATTTTATTCCTAATTCTCCTAATGTGACATTTGTGTTTTTATGATACATTTGTTTCCCTACTTTAGGAGAAACGCCAACTTCCGTGATATTCTCAAGAATCTGTCCATGGGTCCCAAGAATTTGGAGTGCTATGACATCACTCACAAGTTTCATCACGTCTTTTTCTTTGGGGATCTGAACTACAGGGTTACTGAACCAGTTGAGGTGAATGTCTTTTACATGTGGTGGTCTCAGATCTGTGTACTATTGCTTGTTTGCACTTTTGAGGCTGCTTGGAAATCCATGAGGCCAACAAAGAATTTGCTTCTAAATATGAATTGTTGGGTTGCATGGTGATAAAAACCCATAAAAATTGGGGACCATAATATTAATGAGCCATAATAATAATTTTTTAAACAATCGTTAAAGTACTGCAACATGAAAGAAATGAACAATAATAATGACCCAAAAAAAGCTATAATAACTATGATCTTAGTTCACAGACCATAATTATTGATGGACCATAATAATTGAAAACCAACTATTGATTTATGGACCATAATGATTGGAAACCAAATACTGAACTATGGACCATAATCAAGAGAATATAATAGTAATGGACAATAACTGGGGGAAAAAACCCAAAATATTTGGACCATAATAGTGTTGGACCGAAAAATTGAGAAACCAATTATCAGAACTATGGATATTAATGGATATTTGAACCATCTTTTAACAAGTCTTCTGCAAGCTGTACATACTTAAAGGATAAACTAAAGATAATTTGAAATATCTTACGTACCACCCTTATGGGTCTGTATTCTATTTTGTCATAGAAATGGCAGCCTCAAGCCTTATCTCAAATATTTCTTACTGGCATTGGTACTTTTTGTGGCTGAAAACTTTGTCAGGAGGAAACCTTTCTTGGTTTTTAATTTTCTTGTTTTAGTCATGAATATTATTTTTGTTTTGTTTGAAGATGGTTTTACACAAACTGGAGAAAAAGAACATATCCCCACTCTTGGAACAAGACCAGCTGCGCAGATGCCAGTTTGAAAAGAAGGCTTTCTTTGGGTTCAGTAAGTTGTCTTGACTTTTTATAAGCTTGTGCATTGTTTAATTATTTTATGGCTTTAATCTTTTTTTTTAAGGACTACACAACTAATTTTTCTACTCAGCTAGGTAAATAATTAACATCTTTCTGTTTGAATTAAATAAAGCAGTAGTTGAAGCTAGTCCTTGATGTTTGTCCTTGAAGCTAGTCCTTGAAGTTTGTCCTTGAAGCTAGTCCTTGATGTTTGTCCTTGAAGCTAGTCTAGGGTTCAGTTCCCACAGTGGGCGGTTTGGGGGAGGGGGGTCATTATAGCTTTCAGACAGTGGTAAGCAAGTCGTGCCGTGAGAGGTATTGGCGTCTCATGTTGTAATCTTGCCGTAGTTAGCAGTGTGGATACAATGCAGACACCCTCCATTGTGAAGATGAAATAATCTGTTTAGAGCTATTCAGTAATACTGTATCTTTTGTTTTTCAGGTGAGTCGGAAATCTTATTCTTGCCAACCTACAGACTAGAGAGGATGACGCCAGGATACAAATATGACTGGAAAAAAATTAAAACCACCGGAGTAAGTAACCGTGGCAGTGTCTGTGTGAGCTGTGCGCACTGTCATGTGGAGCTGATGGCAGACTGTACCATCTAGACTCTTGAATACAATGTTTACAGTGTGGGTCCCAAGGTTCCATTTTCGGAGGAAAAAAAATAGTAGACCAACTATCCCTCGACACTCATGGCGTAAAAGGCAACCAATTAGGGACTTTCCAAAATCGTATATGATGGGCCGAAAGGCACAGATATTGCAACCTAGCTGTAAACCACAATGCAACATGCCAACAACCCTGTTAAGGATGAACACTGAAAACAAAAAGAAGAAGACGAATGCATATGCTGTAGAAACTTTCTGGGCATTTTCTTCTTTACTACTTTTTCTTATGTTCCATGCTTTGTGGTGTTGGTCGCCATCCTCATCCACAGCCTTCTGTCTCGTATACCGCCAGTCATGCTGGAAACAGACATTCTTCCCTCTCATAATGTCACTGTTTTTGCTCACAGAGGGCCAGACCTATCTGTTTGCTTACATAATGCAACATGCTTGAATGAAAGGAAAGTAACTGTATATACAAACACTAACCCCTTGTATCAGTAGTGAAATACTGAAAGATTGCCACACTTAGGGATGTCATCAAGGAGCGGCTGGCGGAATGGTTAGAATGTTGGACTCTCAATGGGGAGGCAGCTTTGAATCCTCGTTAAGATTGGGAATTTTTTTTTTTTTATGTCGGGGGCAAAAATAAAATCCCAACCTAACATAGTCCATGGAGACAGCACTAGCCATGCAACTTTATATCTATAAAGAGACCCCCCCCCCCCCTTTTTCACCCACACAAACACACACACACACACACACACCACAAAAGCGGTAAATACAGGCAGCAATGGGGGGAAACTGGGATGTTATCACATAGGTACCTGTAGAAAAAAATCCTTCAAAGGACAGTTGAAGGCAAATGAACAAGAAAGAAGTAAAGAAAACCCCAGAGTGAGAGCACCAACAAATGGACAAGCCATGGCCAGCCTGCATATTTGCTGAAGCATGGCATAAGGAAAATTTGCTTACATTGGATAAAGTCACAAATTGAGAAAACTTGCTAAAAGCTTAACTGGAAAGTCCTTTCTTTGAAAGCCACAGGACAAAAGAAATAGAGGGAGGCCTAAAATAAATGGGAAAGTGAATTGTAGCTCATTATCAATCAGCAGTTCCTTTACAGAGCGTTGCTCTTTTCATGGCACACGTGAAAGTATCCCTTTCCCTAGCCAGCTCTCCGGCCCCCATGTGCTTTCTCTGCCAATGCATCTTTGATCTCCTGTATCCATCTTCCCAGAGGTCGACCCCTGCCGCGCCTTCCACAAACTGCACCCTCCATCTTTTCCAAGCTACCAAAATACTTCAGCTTTTGAGACAGCACACTGTTTATGAGCCAGTTCTACTTGATTTTTAACTTGTGCAGAATGTCAATGTTTTACTGTAACTAAATTACAGGTGCTTTGCCATAGGTTCTTCATGCTATTTAATCCCTGTATAGCTAATGAAAGTCTTCTTCTGACTTCTTTTGAGCAGTCTGAATTGTAGGTAGAGATTAATAAAATGTAGACCTGCAAGAAACTGCTGGAAATAGGAAAGGACAAGACGGCATGGCTAAGTTCTTTACTTAGTAAATAATTATTATTATCTGAGGAATTATCTCTGATCTAAATATCAAGAATGTTATAACCCAAGCAGCCATAAATGTGACTGATAAATCATTATAATATCCATCAAGTTTAGAAATCATTACCATAATTATTAAATTATTATTAAAGGCATCATCTTGATCAGTTTCAAAGATGCACTAGATGAACAATGGGCAAAGGAGAGTGAGAAGCAACAATGAAATTCATGATCTGTTTAATCCAGTATTGATCACTGGCATCATGAGAGCTAATAGACTGAAATGGCTGGAGCATATTGAGAAAATGTCAGATGACAGAGAGGTTAAAAACGGTATACACAAGGGAGATAAATGGTCATAGATCACGAGGCAGGCCAAGAAGAGATGGAGAGGTAACGTCCAGACAGACCTGCAAACACTTGGTGTCACCAACTGGAAAGAGAAGAGAGATGAATGGAGGCAGGTGATATCTGCAGCAGTAAACCTCAAGGGCTCGGCATGCTGAAGAAGAAGATGAAAATCATTATCATCCTAATTATACCTTACTAATATGATAATCTGATTAACAAATCATTGTTGCTTTTTATTCTTTAAGGAAAGAATCAATGTCCCTTCTTGGTGCGACAGAATACTGTGGCATTCTTTTCCAGGAACGTTCATAGAAAGTACTGCCTACGGTTAGTCATGATTCCTTCACTTTATCTCACATATTCATGAATAGGTGATCTTAGCATGGTGAAGTTATTACCATCTTCAAAGGGGAAACCATTCTAATATCTTAAATAGAATATCTTTCTAGTGGAACCTACAGGGGCAATTTTAGGAAAAATAGACTAAAAACATATCACCTGTGTGTTGCCAGGAAACTTGGGCAAAACAAAGAAATTAACACAGCAGCCTACCAGGCATGTTATAATTCTTCTTCTTCACGTTCACCAGCTGTAAACTCCAGCGGAAAGTTTTGGTTGTTCGTCTACTTCTGGACTGCAGTCCTGTTCCAGAACCTGAGTGTTGCGTATGTATCTGTTTTACAGATCTGACTCTGTATACAGACTGCTGGCTCCTTGCCTCTCAGGCAGATTCACTCTGACTTCGAAGGAAGCTCCCAATTAGTTGACTCTTACGACTTGCTTTTGGGTAGGCAGTGGTTCTATTCTTGTTTTCCCTCCCACACAGGGAATCATGTTATAATGATAGTTACGGAAAAGTTGGTTTTGGGCTTGGCTACTTATGCTGTGGGAGCTTCCATGATGTAGCAGCCAGATGCTCGCCTGCAGATCGGATGGTCATGGCTTCAGGTCCTGACCCAGCCTTAAATGGGTATCAGGTACAGTCCTGGGAAGTAAAGGTGGCCAGCGTGTTGCTGACTACATCACCCACCCAGTGCCGATTGGTCTATAAAATATATGCCTAGCCCTATATGCCCAGTGTGCCTTAAGACATAGAAAAGGGTTTTTCACTTTACTTTTTTTTTTTTTTAAACCCATACTATATATATAGGGTTGTAGAGAGATATGAGAATCACAGTCCATGACGATGGCAAGTGTGGCTAGCAAGACCTGCTTGTGTTAAGAAGAGTCTTCCACAGCTTGAACATGGGAGTTCAGGACCATTGTTGCCATTACATGTATTTAGCTTCTTTCTCAGACTATTAGCCCATAACCTATCTGCATTCAAATCAGTAGAGATAAACAATATGTGAGATCACAGATGTAGCCCAATAAGTTGTTTGAGGTTGGTGGTTTCCAGGAAGCCCTAAACCTCCCAGGTGCTATTTTTAGTAAATGTAATCAGATCCGGTAGCCGCTGCAGTGTAGCAGCTAGGTGCTCACCTGCAGATCAGAAGGTCATGGGTTCGAGTTCCGATGGAGTGGACTTTTTTCAGAAATTACCCTGGCTCCCAGGTCAGCCCAGCCTTGAGTGGGTACTAGGTATAGTCCTGGGAAGTAAAGGTGGCTGGCGTATTGGTGACCACATCACCCAACGAGTGCCGATTGGTCTATAAAATATATGCCTAGCCCTTTATACCCAGTAAGTCTGAAGGCCTGAGAAAGGGTCCATTATTTTACTTATAATCATATACTAAACACTAGGCAGGCACAAGCGGAACTACTGTCATTAATTAGACTTCTCAGAGACGACTCACTTCAGCTGTCAGGCGGCACTTACAGGGATTTATTACAGATGGAAGTGCTAGATTAGCGGCCTCTGAGGACCAAACAGTTAAAGACAGATGAATAAGATGGACGTGACTACAGTGTAGTCACATCTGAATTGATGACAGAAAATAATCGGTTTAGTTATATCTCAGTCGACGACAAAAAGTTACCAATATAGACAAAATTAGTTGTGTATCCTTTACAGGACATTGCAGAACCAACCCCAGCATTTTTTGGCTGCTGTGGTTTTTCTAGGCAAATTTACGTCCAGTAGCTTGCTGGACGGTTGCTTTTCAATACCACTCTCGAAACTGGCGCAAGGCCCGCAGCTGGGATCGAACCTGGCACCCCGGCATTACGCAATGCCTAAGCCACTGACACCGACGACCAAAATAGTTACATCTCAGTTATTAGCAGAAAATAAACAACGTAGTCACGACTGAATTAATAACAGAAAATAATTGACCACTCATGTCTACATATTGTTCTGTCTGCTTGACCCAGGCTGTGTGGACAACTTATTAAACAGTGACCATCGACCCGTGTTTGGCTCCTTTACTGTGGGCATTTCTTCACCATTCATCCAGAACCGAGCCTCCTTACAGGATAACTTCAATGTGAAGTTCATATTCAAGTCTGTGGAAGCCCTGGTAAGATTTCATCTTGTGGTAAAACATTTACATTGTGATGTGATATTTCAGCTTTTGCTGTTACTGAGCGAGTCGAAGACTTCGGAAAAGATGGAGTGATGGCATTAAGAACAGCCTTACAGAAATGAACATCAGTCTTAATAGTGCTCTTGACAGAGCTCATTAACGAACATTACATCTCCCCCTGACACTTCGATGAGGTAAAATGTGGAAGAGAAGAAAAAGAAACTATTACTGTTCTCTTTTTTGGCACTGGAGCCATGGTGGCCTAGTGGTCAGCTGCTTGGCTGCCAGCCGAAAGGTTTTAGGTTTAATCCACGTTAAGGGGTATATTATTTTGTTAGACTCATATTTCTATAGACCAGTTGGCATATGGTGGGTAATGGGGTCAGCTAGCATCATGCCGGCTGCCTTTCCTTCCTAAGGCTTTACCTGGTACCCATTTAAGGCTGGGTGGACTTGGGAGGCAATGTCATTTTTTGAAAAAAAATCCGTCTCTGTTCAGATTTGAACCCTTGACCTTCGGGTCTGCAGGTGAGTGTCTAGCTGATACACCACCGCGGCTCCCAGAGCATTGTGCAGTTGCATTGAAAGTATGTAATGATAAGTGTGACTTTGACTTATTATAAAGTAACAAATAACAGCACTTAAAATGTCCTTTCCCTGTCTTTTTAGGGGGTTGGGGGGGGGGGGGTTTAGGCCTTCTGCCTGCCCCTACCAAGGATGTTGTAGAAAGTGACTAATTAGCAATGTTTCCTCCGAAGTAGAAGCAGATCTGCCTGAGCCACAAGGAACCAGCAGGCCACATACAAGTCAACCAGATCTTTGAAACCGGTGTGCAGGCAAAATTCCAGTTCTGGAACAAGACCAAAGTCCAGAAGTGGACAAACAACCAGAACTTTCTGCCAGAGTTCATTTTTTTAATTTAAAAATGAAGAAATTATGTTATATGTATGTGTGTGCGTGTGTGTGTGTGTGTGTGTGTGTGTGTGTGTGTGTGTGTGTGTGTATATATATATATATATATATATATATATATATATATACTAGCTGTACCCGGCCACGCGTTGCTGTGGCGTAATTTGAGATAGTCTTTGATCCCCACCCACCCCCCCCCCCCCCCCCCCACAACTAAATCCACCTACTACCCTCTCCCTCATCAAAGGTTTTTAGAAAAGAAAGACAATGGAAATCGCACCTGTCTAATGAAGTTAATGACGCAGTCAATGTCTGCGCCGACGTCGAGATAGTCCTTGATTGCCCCCCCCCCCCCCCCCCCATCGAAGGTTGTTTGAAAAAAAAACAGAAAATAGAAATCGTGTTTAATATGGTTATTGTGGCAAATATAGAGATAGTCTTGTTTGCTGTACCACGACCTACTCTAAGTATTAGTATTAGAGAAGGCGTTGGCTGCACGTAACTCGCCGGCGAATGGTAAATACGGCGCATGCGCAATTACTAACGTGGCTATAATTAGAAATCACTAAAGTTATAAATATTAGTTGCGTATATTTTGGCATAAATTGTGGTCACCTATCTCTAACAGTGACAGGTTGAATTTCAAACCGCGACAGTTCAAAATCCGGTATCACAACAAACATATCCTGAAAATTTCAGCTAAATCGGTTCAGTAGTTTCCGAGTCTATAGGGGTGAAACAAACACACAAACATTGATTTTTATATATATAGATATATATATATATATATATATATAGATATATATATATATATATATATATATATATATATATATATATATATATATATATATATATACACACACATATATATACACATGCATACACACACACATAATATATATACATATATGAATGTGTTTACCATGTATTCTGTTTTCTTTCAGATCAGGACAAGTACCAAACAGTTTTACTTCCTGGAGTTCTCCTCCTCTTGTTTACCCGGTATGTTTTATATGTTTTGTTAATTGTCATGCTAAATCTCACGTCCTGTTGGTAGTACTGTAGAGAATGTGTCATTTGCACTGAGAAGTTGAGTTGAGTTGATTCAAGAACTGACATCACAGCGCTCGGGCCCTTCTCTTGAGCGCTCTGTCCCCATCTTCAGCAGCCAGCGCAGAGTTCCAATATCAATGGTGCCGGTAGCAGTCTGATTATACGTCCGTCGATATTTTCCTCTGAGTGTCAAGTATCATCCAAATCGCCTCGTCACTCCTCGCTGCTTCACTCTCACCAGACTATGATGATCACTGTTCTGTTCCACATTGTACACATGCTCCCATAGGGCCTTAACCATGTCTGCCTTATCGTGCACCAAAATTCCACCAGGTTATGCAAAGCCAGCCATTTTGTCTGTCGGTTTATTTCCCAACACACCGGCATCCCCGTGAAAAGATCCAGACAATACTTTTCACCCTTGACCTCTGAAGCGAAGCATGCCACTCTCTCTCTCTCACAAAGCATACCTGTCCTCACCTTCCTCAGCATGCTGTTTGTCAGTTCCAGTCATGATGTGAGTGTCCTGTTCTCTTACCAGCATAAAGCTGCTGTGACCACCTCCACCTCCAGTCTTAAGCTGGAGGTTGTGGTATCATATGCTAGGATCTCCTCTGCAACCAAATTTCAGCCATTAGCTTTTGCCCAGAACCCCCAAGCACTTCTCTTACCCCTTGACTCTGAACCATCTGTATAAATAATCGCATCACCCTAGCAAGCATTATCCTAAATGTATTGCTGAATTTCTACCTCAGTGGCACCTGCAGGCCTCTCCCTGCACTCCCCCCACTCAGTGAGATTATGGCTATGCACAGGTCTGACTGTTTCGCTGGCATTCTGACCCACTACTCTCCTCACCTTATTTTCGCCAGGACTCAAACCTGTTGCACTGAGAAAACGAGTGTTAAAGTGCTATTTATATGCATGTGTAAAGTTAAAAAAAAAAAAAGTAACGGTTCCTTTCCATGCCTTCAGGTGTATTGGGCATATAGGGCTAGACCTATAAATTTTACAGAACAGTCAGAAATTAGTGGATGATGTGGTCAGCATTACGCCGGCCGCCTTTACTTCCCAGGACTCCACCTCGTACCCATTCAAAGCTGGGTTGACAGGTATTTTTTGAGAAAAAAAAGTCTAGAGCCATCAGGACCCGAAGCCACGGCCTTCCGATCCACAGGCGAGCGTCCAGCAGCTATACCACGGCAACTTCTATATGCATGTGAGACATGGATGGTAAGAAGACAAGCACTTACTGGCAGTGGAAAGGTGGTTTGAAGGTGTAAGAATATCATTTTGTTTTTATGGGGCTGCGTGGTATCGAGGCATGGTGTCCGCCTTGAGTGCTAGAGGTTCCGGGTTCAATTTCCGGTAAGGGCTGGGATCTTTTCACGTGGACTTGGACTTCTATTAATTTCCCCTTGTCTCTGGGTAGTAAGATTCGAGCCCCGTGAGTATTGTTGCACACATTAAAAAAAACAATCCCTTGACATTTGTAAATCGAAAAGAGTAGCCTAGCGGCACTGCCCAGGACAAAATTTGGAGTTAAAAAAACCCAAAAGAATTTCAGAGCTACAGAGCCTGTGCACTATCCTGAGCTTCTTCGGACTCAGACTTGAGTTAGAAGAAAAATGGAGCACTTATGGGTTACTACCCATGTGCCATGATGTTGATCCATTGTTCAAAACCTTTTTGTTTTTATAGAACAGTCAGCACTCACTGTGTGTTGAGGTCAGCATCATGCTTACCACCTTTACTGTCCATGATTTGTAGTACTAATTGTCTTCCTTTCATGGCCTGTGTGTGATTACTGGTCTGGTCACATGCTTTTTTTTTTTTGCTTTTTTTTTTTTTAAGAAGATTAATAATAACGAAATTGTCTACGTCATTTCAGACATCATTTGTTGTGAATCCAACAAAAGGTTTGGAGACAGTCAGAAAGCCGGATTCACAAATAATCCAATATGGACTTTAGAACAGTTGCCCCAGTTACGACCCCTGTTTGGAGATGCAGATTTTCTCGAGGACCAGCATCTGTTGATTGCTGTGAAAGGGGCTGGTGACGATCATGAGTCCTATGGTAAGTAAGTAGTAAGTAAAGGACCCTTTTCCACGCCTTTAGGCATATAGGGCATATAGGGCTAGGCTGGGTCAACCTGGGAGCCAAATTCATTTTGAATCCTATGGTAATTGATATGTTTTGTTTGTGTGAATGTAATGTTCATACAGGAGGAGTATGTAAGTAGTTAGGCAAAGGCCCCTTTTTCAGTACCTTGGTGTTTGGTGCTGACCCATGTCTTTAAAAGGATGAGTTAAGAAGTGACATCATAGCACTTGGGACATTCCCATAAGCGTTCCATCCTTATCGTCAGCAGCAGGCATAGAGTTCCAGTTCAGATGATGTCAGTAACAGTCTGATTGTATGTCCATTTCACCCTTTCCCTGAGCATCGAATGTCGGCCAATATTTTTCAAAACTTATTTACTGTGTCCTCATTGATTTAGCCAGTGTTCTTCTTCTACTCATCTACAGGAGAATGTGTCATCTCTCTGAAAGACATGTTTTCTGGGGAGCCTTGCTACTTTGAGACAACCATGACCCACTTTGGAGAGGAAACAGGAAAGCTCAAGTAAGCAGCTGTTTTGTGTTTGGGAGTTTGTCTTCATCGTCCTCTTTTTTCAGACCCCTATTGGGTTGTGGGCCCCATTTTGGAGGGAGGTAAAGAAAGAATAGACTGACTGGTCCCTCCCCCAACATGCGTGTCATAGAAGGTGACTAATTAGGGATGTTTCCTAAAAGGTCAGAGTGCATCTGCCTGAGTGGCCAGGTACCAGAAGATTGTATATAAATAAACCAGATCTTTTAAATGGATGTGCACACAAAAATCAAGCTTTGGAATAAGGCCAGAGTCCAGATATAGATGAACAACCAGAACTTTCCACCAGAGTTTACAGCTGGTGAACACTTGAAAGTTCTTCTCCAGCAGTTACTCTTCTACAACAGCCTCATATCTTTATATTACCTGTGAAACATATGGTAGTATTCTTTGTTCTCCATCAGTTTGTATTCCTGATTTCTCTTTACAGCTATTCCCCTGTCAATCCAATCTCCAGGACTTCTGCTGTCTGTTCTTCTTTGGGATGTCTTTAGCCTTCTCTTCTTCCTCTGTGTAATAATTCTTGGCTTGACTTGGAATGTACCTTGGCTCACTACATATTGGCTTTAGCCACGGCTCACTCTCTGGATGTTTACTGCTACAAAACTTGTGTTTTAACAACACAAATGCCGCTCAGCTTCTTTGTACATACTGTCAGTTTATTCGGTCACATTTGTTCCACATGTTTCCACAATTAATTATACTTCTCTCGCACGCAACATGTTCAAACACTAGTACCTCGCACAATATTAAAACTGCTCTAAGAAAATGCTACCGTCTTCTCTGACTTCTGATGATCGACTGACCACGAGGCTAGCTCGGGCTTTCCCTCGCTTCCTCGACTAGGCACAAGTATCTCGTGCTGCACCTTGTTGCACGGACTTTCTGCTTGTCACTATGTAATCGTGAAGACCATGCAAAGCACCTCATCACACTCTGTGTACATTTTAGTCTGGGATCATTTTAAATTAAGTATCTAAGCATTGAACCAATGAAATGTTGACCTCGTTTACTATTGCACATTGTTGTCTATAAATTGACTGACTTTTCTTTGCACAGAGGTGAATGGTACATCTCTACCGGGGCAGCGACAGGCGGCAGGAACAAGTCCAGCAGGAAGACTTATGGTACTGATGCCTAGATTAGTTTATGTTTTAAACTCTGTAACTATTTCAAACTAGAAGCTCTAAAAAAAAAAGGAATAAATAAAGCAGGAACCCTTAGCAGCTCCTTCCAAAAAATCTGTTTATGTACAACTAATAGGCACTTCTTCTACTTCTTCAGAATTCCGAGCCCTTGAGATTTGTTGCTTCAGATATCGCTCGCCTCCACTCATCTCTCTGGTTGGCCTTGTCTTTCCAGTTGATGACACCAAGTGTTTGCAGGTCTGTCTGGCCATTATCTCTTCATTGTCTTCTTGGTCTTCCTCGTGGTGTACGACCATTCAACTCCCTGGTGTATACAGTTTTTACCTCTCTGTCATCTGACATTCTCTCAATATCATCATTATCAAGTGCCTGGCCAGCTGGTGTAAGCGTTCAAGCGTTAATGCAGATCTCGGTCTTTGGTGTTCTGGATCAGTTCCACTGATGATATTCCTCCATGCCACTGTCCTAAGCCATCCACCATCATTTCTCTTGGTCTGCCTCTGCCTCTTCTACTAGCGATCTTTCCAGTCGTCACGATATTTTCCAGTACTCCTTTTCTCATGACATGACCAAAGAATTCTCAATATGCCCCAGCTTTTTCAGTCTATTAGATCTCATGATGCCAGTGATCAGTGGTGATTTAAAAACAGATTATGAATTTCGTTGTTGCTTCTCACTCTCCATTTCCTGCTAACTAATAGGCAATAGGTCACTAATAATGTTTTCTAATGTATCTATTTACACTGTTTTTTTTGTTTTTTTTTTTTTAGTTGTCAAATATATTCGAAAGTATTTCAAGGGACCTTAACAAAATGTTATTGGGTGACTCTTACTGTGACGTCATCAGAATTCTAAAACTAAGGCTATGGAGAAAATATGTTGTCCTAATGGCTTGACAAAAGCCACTTTGTTAACAGGAACCCCTCTCTCCCCCCCCCCCCTACTTTTTTTAAATCCCTAATGTTATTTATAGTAAATACATTCATATCCAGGCTTCCTGAACATTACACATACTCAACCAGAAGCCAGCACCTTAAACTAGGTTTCTCTGGGACAAGTCACCACAGCCATGCTGGTTAAGTGGCATTTACAGGAATGGGCATCAACCAGCGATGCCTGGATTCACCTCTTCTTTGGGCCGTAGGGTTAAAAAGAATGTTGAATGTTCAGTTGAGAATCAACATCATAGCAGTCAAGACACTCCCATAAGCATTCTGTCCTCATCTTAAGCAAGGAAAGAGTTCCAATTCCAATGGTATCAGTAACTGTCTCATTGTACATCCATCTTGCCTTTTCCTTGAGTTTTGAGGATCGGCCAGATCCCCTGGCAACTCCCGGCAGGGCCATTCTCTTCACACAAAAATGATCTGTTTGTGCGTCTGTACTGTTCGTTTGCTCCCAAAGGTCCTCACAACATTTGGCTTGTCATACATCAATTCACCACCTGTGGTGCAGGAGCGGCCAATCTATCTGCCTGCTTGTTTCCCAACACACCAGCATGACCTGGTAATAATATTCAAAGAACGCTAACTACACGGGACCTCTGAAGCGATGCGTGCTGCTCTGCACGGAGCATAGGTTAGAAAGAAAAGATGTTTGAAGCCAAGAGGATTGACTTCATTCCCCCAGAAATGATTGCATGCCAAAGTCATAAATAAAGCCATCTGTCTCATGCTTCGGATGTGGTGGGTTTCTTCTCTAACCACCCCTTTTGGTTCACAAGTGAAAAATATTTTAAGATATCTCTCGGGATCATCACTGGAGCCACATAGTTTATGCTTTGTGTTGCATTTAGTGCTAGATATAGAGTCTTAGTAGATCAGTCAGCACTTAGGATTTTGGTGCTAGATCTATAGTCTTAGTAGATCAGTCAGCACTTAGGATTTTGGTGCTAGATATAGAGTCTCAGTAGATCAGTCAGCACTTAGGATTTTGGTGCTAGATCTAGAGTCTCAGTAGATCAGTCAGCACTCAGGATTTGGTGCTAGAGCTAAAGTCTTAGTAGATCAGTCAGCACTCATGCATTATGGTCACCATCATACCTACAGGATTTTCTTCTCATGTATTTCCTGGTACTTATTTTAGGATGGGTCTGTCTGAGAGCCACAGCCAGTTATTAAAAACTCCACCTCAGGCTAGATGCCCGCCTGCGAAACGGAAGGTCGTGGGTTTGCGTCCTGACAGCCAGACTTTTTTTAAAAATGACTTTGACTTCCAGGTCGACCCCGCCTTGAGTAGGTACCAGGTGCAGTCCTGGGAAGTAAAGGCAGCTGGCGTGATGCTGACCCCCATCACTTACCAAAGCTGCATCAGAGGCCTGAAAATGCATGGAAATGCCCAATGTACCTTGACGTTGATTGGATTACATAAAATTACATAAGAACTTTTCAAAACATAAGGAGCTACAGTAATGACAGACTGGTACCGAAATAGTTCATTTGTATTTTTTTTAAAAATTGTGTTGTTTAACTATTCTTTTTTTTTTCTTGTCTTTTTTCTCTCCAGAAATTGTTGCTCTGGACACAGAGTATCATGATCCAGAAGAATTCCTGTCTTTGTCTCCCCCGGTGGACTCTGCACACCTCAACCTGTTCTCCACATCCTCACAGACTCCCTCCAGCCAACACACCCTGGACGGTGACCAGGCGATCTATATTCCAACACACTATGTCAACCACAACATCATCAAGAGAGCACCTTCAGACCCTGTTCCCGACACTCCCGAAGAAGACCTAATTGTTATGCCTATTCCTCCACCGTTGCCTAACAAACGAGGGAAGACACCTCATATGGGACAGGTCAGTTTGCAGACTTCAAAGGTTTTGACTACCCAAGGAGGAAAAGCTGGAGAAACATCAGGACCATTATTGGTTTCAACAGTTTCTAACCCCCTGGATTCCCTGACTGGGTTCGAAGTTGACGGTGCTTGCGCAGCAGCAGGAAGCCGAAGTTCCCAGGGAGCTAAATTTAACGGGCAGCAGTTGATAGCGGTCTCTGCAGCAATCCAAGCCCAGCATATGATGAAAAAACTGGACAGCGGGTCTCCGTCACCTCCAGGCAGGACAAACTTCAAAGGGAATATGTATCCTCCAGTTGGAGCCAAGCCGGGGGGAAGAAGGGCGAGTCAAAGTCCCCATCCCGAGGCTCACCTCTTGTCTGGCAGTCCCGGATAGATGGGGATGACTTTGCTGCATCAGCCGTTCTTCCAGATTTAAAAATCATTCCATCTGCTCCCCCTTTACCAGAAGAGGTAAGTCTTTGTCTTAAAATTTGTCATTAACTCTGTTCCCAGACAAGTTAAGTCTGTTGTTTTGTGTTTTGTCGTTTACTTTCAGTCTGTTGTCTTGTTTTTTTTAAATTTATTCCTACTTTACCAAAAGAAAAACGTCTCTTGTTTTATATTTTGTCATCAGTTAATTGGCAGAGTCTGTTGTTTTGTATTTTGTTATTAGCTCTTTCATTCCCTGAGGAAGAAAGTCTGTTGTTTTGTATTTTGTTATTAGCTCTTTTATTCCCTGAGGAAGGAAGTCTGTTGTTTTGTATTTTGTTATTAGCTCTTTCATTCCCTGAGGAAGGAAGTCTGTTGTTTTGTATTTTGTTATTAGCTCTTTCATTCCCTGAGGAAGGAAGTCTGTTGTTTTGTATTTTGTTATTAGCTCTTTCATTCCCTGAGAAAGAAAGTCTGTTATTTTGTATTTTGTTATTGGCTCCTTCATTGCATGAGGAAGAAAGTCTGTTGTTTTGTATTTTGTTATTAGCTCTTTCATTCCCTGAGGAAGAAAGTCTGTTGTTTTGTATTTTGTTATTAGTTCTTTCATTCCCTGAGGAAGAAAGTCTGTTGTTTTGTATTTTGTTATTAGCTCTTTCATTCCCTGAGGAAGGAAGTCTGTTGTTTTGTATTTTGTTATTAGCTCTTTCATTCCCTGAGCAAGCAAGTCTGTTGTTTTATATTTTGTTATTGGCTCTTTCATTCCCTGAGAAAGAAAGTCTGTTATTTTGCATTTTGTTATTAGCTCTTTTATTCCCTGAGGAAGAAAGTCTGTTGTTTTGTATTTTGTTATTGGCTCTTTCATTCTCTGAGGGAGAAAGTCTGTTGTTTTTGTATTTTCTTTCATTCCCTGTTATAATTAGCTCTTTCATTCCCTGAGGAAGAAAGTCTGTTGTTTTGTATTTTGTTATTAGCTCTTTCATTCCCTGAGGAAGAAAGTCTGTTGTTTTGTATTTTGTTATTAGCTCTTTCATTCCCTGAGGAAGAAAGTCTGTTGTTTTGTATTTTGTTATTAGCTCTTTCATTCCCTGAGCAAGCAAGTCTGTTGTTTTATATTTTGTTATTGGCTCTTTCATTCCCTGAGAAAGAAAGTCTGTTATTTTGCATTTTGTAATTGGCTCTTTTATTCCCTGAGGAAGAAAGTCTGTTGTTCTGTATTTTGTTATTGGCTCTTTCATTCTCTGAGGGAGAAAGTCTGTTGTTTTGTATTTTGTTATAAGCTCTTTCATTCCCTGAGGAAGAAAGTCTGTTGTTTTGTATTTTGTTATTAGCTCTTTCATTCCCTGAGGAAGAAAGTCTGTTGTTTTGTATTTTGTTATTAGCTCTTTCATTCCCTGAGGAAGGAAGTCTGTTGTTTTATATTTTGTTATTGGCTCTTTCATTCCCTGAGAAAGAAAGTCTGTTATTTTGCATTTTGTTATTAGCTGTTTCATTCCCTGAGGAAAAAAGTCTTTTGTTTTGTATTTTGTTATTGGCTCCTTCTATGTGATTGGTTGGAAAACAACAACTGATGAAATCTAAGTAGCTTAATTGAGTTTGCCATAAAGGTGAAAGAATGAGGTTGCATGACTGTTAATGATTGATTGAACATGGAAGAGAGTTTTAGACACTTTATTACATCTGACTGTGACTGTGGAGATGACAGTTAATGATTGATTGAGTATGAAAGAAGATTTTGGAGACTTCATTACCTCTGACTTTGTATGTTGTGAAGATAGTTAATGAATGATTGAGCATTGAAGATAGTTTATGAATGATTGAGCATTGAAGATAGTTAATGAATAATTAAGCATTGAAGAAGATTTTAGAGACTTCATTATTTGTAACTATAATGTGGAGAGAACAGTTAATGATTAATTGAGCATTGAATGGGCTAGAGACTTCCTCAGATCTAACTTTGAATGACTCCTGAGTTATCTGTTTTTCACTCTGGGCATGTCCGTAGGTGTTCAGATTCCCCACTCAGTAAAAACACCAGCCTCCAGTGACAGTCCTTTACTGGTTGAGAAGATTTCTCCTGTGTCTGGTGTGCCTGTCATGCCTGGCTGTGCCAGTCTTTACTCCGAATTGCCACATTCTTAGCAGACGTGTGGACACACTGTCCTCAAAATCCTCCAGTCGGTCCTCCCTCTCTGATGGAATTTATAATGTCAGCACTACCCATAGGCTGGCCATCTGCAGCCATGTCAGTGAAGATGATTGATTGAACATGGAAGTAGATACTGCCCTCTCACTTCCACATAACAGAAGCAGAGCTAAAGGTCCACCCCGCAAGCGATGGATAGATGGGATATTGAAGGCCACAAATACTAGCATCTACATAGCACATACCAAGGTTCACATCTGATGCCTCTTCAGAACCTGACCCTGAAGAGCAGAACAGGACTAGAGGAGAAGAAGATGCTTGACACAAGCGTCTCTTTGGAAGAAAGTGAGGGAAAGAATTAGTATGCCTCTAGGCGTTGCTCTGCCTCATTAAGATGTGAGCAGTAACACAAAGAATCTCCAACTTCTAATTGTAAGTTTGAAAATGGAGTTCTACCAAGAGACTCAGAACATTCATAACTACTTATTATGACCTAAAGAGATATAAATATATAGGGGGGGACTGTATACCTGCACAGGTGGGACCACTTTTGAACCTGACCTAATTTACATAGAGATGACAGGATCAAGAATAGTCCAAGATGAAGGGGTGGCTGGGACTGTTACGTGACAATGCTGAAGCACACCATCTTGGCAAGAGACAAATAATATAGGAGGTCCATTGCTACTGACCTATATGATTTGGAGATGACACCTGATCTGATCTAACCTTATATTTTCTTCAAAGATTGCCATATAACTTGTTTTTTTCCACAGAATATCTACCCTTCAATTGCAATTCGTCCTTATGAAGAACTCAAGAAACCAACCAGTGTCCAGGAGTGGTTAACCGGGCTGGGATTAGCTGAGTACATCGGTGTTTTTTTACGCAACGGTTGGGATTCCATGAGTTCCATTACCGGTTTGAACATTGCTGGCATCATGAAGATGGGAATCCGGGACGGGGAGCATCGTATGAGGATCCTAAACAGTGTCAGGGAGTTGAAAGGAGCATCTACATGACTGTAGTAGTAGCCATTGTTTCAGAGGATACATAGCAATGGCTAATACATAATATTTTGCTTGGGCTTTTTATTCACAACTTTCAACTCCAGTATTTTGTTGGGTTGAAGTATGTGTACTGTGCCAATATAACCTTGCCTCACAGGCATATACTATGAGGGAAAAGATATAAATAGACTCTAGAATTGTAGATACACAGAAGAATCAGGGTACCTCTCATGGAAACAAGCAGAATGTTTTCTTTTTCTTCTCCTCCTACTCCTTTTATCTTGTAATCTTTTCGCCCCAGAAATGCTTTGAAAAAATGGTAGGATTCCTTGTGAATTTCCTAAATAAATTATTTAAAAAATAAACATTATACAGAGGTCACTAATAATTTCTTATTTTAATGTTATTTTTCTACATGTTTAAAAACAAACAAGTGAAATATTTAAAAGAAGTAATAAGTAAAGACAAATGGAGTGAAGCATTCACTGGTATACATTCCCTGTGGCCTAAAAAAAAAATAATTGATTGTTCAGTTCTTCTTCTCTGCATTCGGTTTTGTGTGCTCAGATCAGACCATCAGATGGGTTGCCTCTATTAACTCACATGTCAGCTGCAGGTCTTTCATGGTTCCCCTTAGCCAGTTCTGCACATGTTGCTCGTAAGGCCAGGTTTCTTTTTGAAGTTGTAGGTAGAGTGGGCAGGTCTGCAGAATGTGCTCAGGTGTTTGTGGTCCTGTTTGACAGGCACACTGTGGGGACTGTACAGTCTTGATTTTATGCATGTGATTATTGAGCCTGCAGTTTCCTATACTTAGATTGAAAATTGTTGTATGTTGCTTTCTGTTGAGTCTGCTGATGGGATCTTGTGGATGTTTACTGTTGGTTTGTTCTCTCCACAGCTTCCTTGCATTTTCCCTTGATAAACGTTTTGATTTCTGGTAAGGTACTCTAAATCTGGAGTGTTGTTTCTTTTTTGTTTACCCCTATCTGTGAACCCGGACCTGCTTAATGCTGTTAGGCATAGCAGGCACTGTTATTGATCAGTTTCCAGAATAATGTGAGCTTGTTAGCTTGATGTCCAGTGATATTGTTGAGAGTCAGCAGGTTGCTGACTCCACTGATCTATCTTCTTATTGGCCTTCCTCTGCCTTTTGATGTTTCCATTCTCATGTTGTATGTTCTTGTAACTGGTGTCTCTGGGTTGATTATGACCAGTTGGATAAATCTTTCAGTCTTTGTTTTTCATTAAATGTAATTACAGGTATTGTTCCCACCATTCTGATTATATTCTGTTTCTTTTATGGTCTCTTTTTGTTATGTTGACTGCTTTTTTCAGACATCTCATTTCTTACACCATTAGTTTCTGCTTGTCCTTTTGTTAATGCCAAGGTTTGGCATTGGTAACACAATGTTGGTAAGAAAGATTGCGTTTATGATTTGTTTTTGTTTTTTTAGTTTCCGTTGGTATTTCTGGGTGTTGAACTGGTTTTTGTAATTTCATTTTTTTTTTCAACTGTCTTTTCTGCCTGTATTTACTTTGTTGTTTGGCAGAGTGGGACCTGAGTCTGAAGATCCAGGAAGTTAACCTGGTCGACAAATGCTGGGTGAAGTTGGATGTGTCACCTGAACAATGCAAATATCACAGCTTTGCTGTAAACAGGCACAACCCAGTTACCTCATGCAGATAAAAAAAAAAAAAAGAGACTGAGGATTTAATGCGGCATGGTTAGTGCACTTGCCACAAACTGTGCAGGCTAGAAAGTTTATTTTGCCATGATAGAAGAAACTTTCATTGTTTGTATAATTTGAACCCAAATCTACCGCATGAGAGCCTAGCGTTCTAGCCACTCAGGCAGTTTCTGCTTGTAATTTCATGAAGTATATTAGTTACTGCCTAACTGTACTCATAAACTGTGTGAAGAATCCTGAAGGTTGTCAGACTGGTTCAATAAATTATAACTTTACTCATTAATTGTGTAAAGAATCCTGAAGGTTATCAGACTGGTTCAGTAAATTATGACTGTAAAAATGACTGGCTGTCTCGGCTCCTGGACTCTTTCAGTTCAGATGATCAGACATAATTATTTGATTGCCTTAGAATGCCGATATTGAGTTCAAGCTTGTAGATAAACAAGTTGAACTGCAGTCAAGCCATGAAACTTTTAACAAAGTGGAAAATATTAAGTATGCGTAGCTTTATGAATGCATTTTAAAAAATAAAGGATGTTGTGGCAAAAAGCCCTCTTCAGCACACAAATATGAAAAGTAAATGATTCAGAGCAGTTCAGTACCACATACATTGTATCAGTTTTCCGTTTTTTTTTTAATTTTTTTATTTCTATATAATATCTTGATGCCTTAATGTAGTTATAGAACCATATGCTTGTTTGTATTGTGTTAAGTTCTTTTAGTTGTTTGCCAAGGCAGGTTTGCAGGCTTGCCACCACAACATCCTTTGTTTCTTTATTGTAATTATGAACTGGATTTCACCTATACTTCATTTTCCCTGAGGGCCACATTAGCTCAGTCGATAAGAGGCTGGCTTTTAAATCCTGTTGCGACTTGCTACAGCTGGGTTCACCCAGCCTCTAGGAAATGGGTACCAGAGTGATACTCTGGGGTAAATGGAGGAACGTCGCTGTAGCTACAGAGTTACGTGCGAACGGTGACACAGGCAGACAATTCTTATCAGCTGTCCGTACTGGTGGCAGAGCACTTATGGTTTATAACCGAGTGTAATGGCGCTGGTTCACATCTCCCGAATTTACCTTTTTACCTTTTTTAATTTTCCCTTGTTAGTAACAAGTTAGCCAAGTTCAAGGACAACCAAATTCATTGTGTATACATATTCATGCGTATGCTTCAGCCATAATAATTCAAGCTGTATCTGGCTTTTATGTGCTTTCAAAACATGTATTTAATTGTGTTATCATAATTTTTTTCAGTGTGTGTTTCCATGGCTTGGAGAAATCCTGATGGTGTGGGAAATAGTATCTTAACATTAGAGTGAATTAGTATTGAGTAGCAGTTTTTTATTTATTTTTTTTTTTCTGATTATGCAAGTGTGAAATAGAATCATAGCATTCAGGATGGATGATTCTGAGAAATGTTTTTTCTGAATATGAAAAGTGTGAAATAACAAATAATGACATTACAGTGAATACATACAAATGTTATTTGTTCTGACTATCAAAGTGTCAAGTAGAACCATGACATTCTTCTTCCGCCTTTCTTTTCCCCAATGGAGCTCTCCCCATGTCCTCCCCATCTTTCTAACTTCATTCTCCAGCTCTCTTCTCTATGTGTTTTTTGGCCTTCCTTTATTCCTATGCCCCTGTGGGTTCCAATACAAAGACACTCTAGTTATGCTATTCTTCTGTTTTCTCAGTGTGTGTCCTATCCATTGCCAGCATCTTTTCCTCACCTCTTGGTCCACTGGAGCCTGTTTAGTTCTTTCCCAAAGCTCTACATTAGTTATTCCTTCTATTCTGTGCAGGCACCAGTTAGTGAATGTTTGTAGTTTATTACCATGAACCATGACATTAGATCTGGTTAATAATGAATATTTGTTGTGATTATAAAAATGTGAAATGCAACCATGAAATAAGAATGGGTTAACACTGAATAAATAATATTTGTTTATTCTGTGAAAGTCTGAAATATTACAATAACATTGGAGTGAATTAATACTGAATATTTTTTCTATGGAAGTATGAAATAGAACTATGATTTTATGTTAAATAATATTTGTTTATACTATGAAAGTGTGAAACAGCAGTGTGAACGTATAGTGGATAAGCATTATTATATAATAATTGTTATGGGGGGGGGGGGGTGAATGGTTCAAGGCATGGTGTCTGCCTTGAGTGCTGGAGATTCCGGGTTCAGGCCCCAGTAAAGGCTGGGATTTTTTTCACCTAGACTTGTGGAAGATATTCAACACACAGAGAGGGAAACAGAGGCAGACTTTGAATCAGGTACTATTAGCACTATAGCATGTCGACTCTTTACTGGTTACTAAAGAAGGGGACAGGGAATATTAATGACTGTTCTGAGTACAGTGATGTCAGTTCTTGATTCATTTACTCATTCATCACAAAATCAAATATGTGTAAATATACATTTCCATCTATTTTTTTTTTTTTTTGTTGTTGCTGATAATAAGGGTCCTTTTATTTACTGACAGCACTCAACTCTTTGAGTCCCAAGGAACGCATCATATGTTCATAGGTTCCCACCTAGAAGCCCAATAAACGCATGATGCGCCGATTTTATTACTTTCTTTACTACCCCCTGGGCCTGTGATGCTAAACCCCCCGGGACTCAAAGAGTTGAAGATTGCAATGGAACATAGGAAGTGTCTCACTTCTCTTGCCTCTTCGTGTTCTATATTTCCTGCTTGTGTACATGATTGTCTTTCTCTAGCACATCAGAGGGAAGTTTATGGAAGAATATGAAACAAGAAGACTGTCTTCTGAAGTACACTAATTTGTGTGTTTATTTTTTTTTTTTGTCCTTCTTCATGTTTATCCTTGTAAACTCCGGCAGAAAAACCTGACTGTTCATTCATTTCTAGACTTTGATCTTGTTGCAGGTCTTGAGTATTGTCTGCAGATTCATTTTTACAGATGCGGCTTATTTGTTGGTTCCTTGTCTCTCAGGCAGATGTTCTTACAACTTTGAAGGAACGTCAATCATATCAACATTGGTCAGGCTGCTAGCTGGTTTCTAGGGTGACCACAAGCAGGTGTGGACAGGCATTGACCAGGTTTAGCACTGGTGTTAGTGTACTGCTGCGTTTTGGTCCTGCCTACCATGTGTTGGTGTACAGCCACATGTGGTCCTGCCTCCCATGTGTTGGTGTACTGCCACGTGTGGTCCTGCCTCCAGTGTGTTGGTGTACCGCCACATGTGGTCCTGCCTACCATGTGTTGGTGTACCGCCACATGTAGTGCTGCCTACCATGTGTTGGTGTATCGCCACATGTGGTCCTGCATACCATGTGTTGGTGTG